TGCAGTTCAAAAACACCTGAGTAACCCAAGGTTAAGAACCACTGCTCTAGGCGACGCCTTCATGGTAGATTGGGATGACGGCCTAATTTATCTTTTTCCACCCATCCCACTCATCCAGAGGATGATAGTCAGAATCCATCAGTTGGATCAAGATGCCATTCTGATAGCAATGTGGTGGCCTCATCAACCTTGGTTCACTACTCTCAGAATCATGGCTTTGGACTTTCTAAGACTACCCCTTCAACCGTCCCTTCTCACTCAGGATGGAGGTCGCCTTTGCCATCCCGACCTCAGCTCTCTACACCTCACTGCGTGGAGAATTCTCCCAACGTGGCTGAAGTCTTGAATAGAGCTAGGAAGCCATCTACTCAGTTATTATATTCATATACATGGAACTCCTTTATCAAATTTGCTGAATCACAGAAATTGCCCATGGTTCCAGTGTCCTTGGACACCCTTCTTAAGTTCCTGTGTTACCTGTTCGAGCTGATGTCCCTTGTATTCAATTTTTTCTGTATAAAGTTCTTATAGCCAGATGTGTCCTTCCTTCCCAAACTTCTAATTTCCATGTTAATCAACCTCTAATTCTTCCAACGTTATTCCCTAATCCATCTTCTGATGTTGAGCGCATGCTCCACTCCCTTGATGTTCATCGTGCCCTAGCATTCTACGTTTCCAGAACCAAGGACTTCCGTACTTCTCCCAGATTTTTTGTGTGTTTCCATGGCCCATGAAAGGGTTCTCCTGCCTCCTCACAGACAATCTCGAGGTGGATTGTCTTGGCCATTACATTGGCTTATGACTTGGCAGGTAAAACTCCACCAGAGTTGCTAAAGGCACAGTCCACAAGAGGAATGGCCACGTCTGCAGCTTTGTTGTACCGTTGAAGTCCCTGATGTCTGTTGAGTGGCCGTTTGGTCTACACCCTCGACTTTTGTGACGCACTATCTTGATGTCATGGTCAAGAAGGAAGCAAGTTTCGGAAGGGCTGTGCTGACTTCGTTGTTGGCATGATGGCCCTCCTTCCGGTAAGTGAGCTTGCTAGTCACCCATTTGTGTGGATTCACAGAGGCCACGAAGAAGAGAGGTTACTTGTAACCATGGTTCTTCGAGAGGTTCTCTGTGAATCCACACAGCCTCCCTGCTGTCTGTCACTGGATGCTTTGAGCTTTGTGGGGTTCCGAGCCTTAACAGTGGCGGACATTTTGGAATGGAGGTAATACGGGTGGGTGGAGCATGCGCGCCATGGGGCAATGTCCTATTAATCACGTCTTTTTAAACTCTAAAATATTCCGAGGACTCCTGCGGAGGTACAGTAAAACCTATTTGTCTGGATTCACAGAGGACCACTTGAAGAACCATGGTTACAGGTAAGTAATCTCTTTTCTGTCATGGCCTATGTTCTTTTGAAGTCAGATATTGGGGAGTCACATGCTGGTGGTGAACTGTACTGGAGACAGCGAAAGCTGAATTCAGAACCAAAAGTAGAAGGTGCCACCAATTTTGTTCTTCCCACTTAGTAACTTGATGATGGAGTGAATGGATTGTTTTTACCATAGTCTAAACTGATTATCTTTAGAGGACAGAGTGAAATGGGATGGAGGGCTATTTGAAATTAGACTATGCTTTCACTCATGAAGTAGCTTTTCACTTGGCTGTAGCTCAATGGAAGAACACAACTTTTGCATGCAAAAATATTTCTGTTTCAACCCTTGGCATCTCCTGATAAGGCTGAAAAAGATCCCTCTCTGACATCCTGGAAAAACTCCTTCTGATCAGTGTAGACAGTTCTGCGCTGGATCAAATATTTGGCTTAATATAAGACAGCCTCCATTGTTTATATGGCATTTCAGCGCTGCAAGAATAAAGTAGTTTTTTCTTTAATTCAGATTGAAGGACAAGGACACGGTGCTGTCTTTGACTGCAAGTTTTCATCAGATGGACAACATTTTGCCTGTACAGATTCTCATGGGCATCTTTTGATATTTGGCTTTGGTTGTAGCAAGCCTTATGAAAAGGTATGTTTTCTTGAGTCTAGCAATACTCTAACAGTCAGCATTGCTAGTAGAATTAGTAATGTTAATACATTTGTTTAAGACTAAGCTTTTATTTCTTCTTAGCTTTTACTTTTTGCTTTGTGTTCATAGTGTAGGAAAATACATGATCTCATCAAACCCCTGTCACACACATAAACCCACACAACACACACACTCTTGTTGATCTGGGATGTCTTGAGAGAACATCATCTTGTCTATGGAATCAGTTTCCTATGACATCCTAACTGGGAAACTGATTTAAGTATTGCTACCAACCTTGTCTGCAAAAAAGGATCAAACTAGATTACCATTCTGTTTTGCAGGTGGTGGTTCTTTGGTTTGAGTGTCATTAGGAGTTGTGATTTACAGGGCCAAGATGTCTCCCCTCAATTTGGCACATAGGAGAAAGGGAGAGTGGAATGCTTGTTAGATACTTGTTATGCTTCTGCAGGTCATAATGTGTTGAGCTAAAGCATTTTATATAAATCAGGCCTCAGCTGATGTCTTAGTTGATAAATTGGTGGAGACGGTGTAAGAAAGAAGAGCACACTATTTTTTAAATGTAACCTTTCATTTGACTCTTACAAGTGGTATAAAAATTACCTTTTTGTGCAGAATGGAGATTTAAACATTTGATTTCAGCTGATTTCCCTATAAATCCATGTAACAGTTAACAGAAGAGTAAGAATTATATTTGGATTGTTGCTTGATTAAGTTACATAACTAGCATTATATATTAGCCTAAAACTTCCTGGATGCTACAGGTTCCTGTCAAATGGCATTCTGAATATTATTGCATGGGATACACAAAAGGTATTCAGAGAGGATTATATTCCTAAGAAGATTTTGTTTGTTATAATGATGAACTTCGGAAAATAAGGGTAATGTCCCAGCCCACCCCCCAAAAAACAACAGAAGAAAAAGTATGGGAATCTTGACAGGTGCAGTGAAACAACTGTTTACAAAATGTTCCCGAATTATCTGTTTTTGCTGAATCAAAGTGAGGCACAAGGCGGACTTACAGTCGAAGTGCCTGAGAACTATTTCTTTCATTATTCTGCAGGTGAACCTAGCTTACTGTCAGTTTTAATGTCTTTTTTTAAGGTTGGTTATATGTAAGCTTCGTTTCTTTCTAGATTCCTGATCAGATGTTCTTCCACACTGACTACCGACCACTGATCCGAGATTCTAACAATTATGTCCTAGATGAGCAGACCCAGCAGGCTCCTCATCTTATGCCTCCACCATTCTTAGTAGATGTGGATGGAAACCCTCACCCAACAAAATACCAGCGCTTGGTACCAGGAAGAGAGAACTGTGCAGATGAGCATCTGATTCCACAGCTTGGATATGTAGCAACAAGTACGAATGACAGTTCTCAACTTCTGTCTCTTGAGTCTAGTTTTAATATGATTGAAATGTAGCATGAGACAAAATGTCATCTGAATCTGTACTGTTAACATTTAAGTTCTATTTTTTTAAAAAAATGCTGGGTGCAGTTAAGCTTATGTAATTTGTATGTGTAATGTTAGCTATGTTTTATTCAGCACAAACTCCAGTTGTGCAGTGTGATTCTACTATTAAGCAATAGTGTTTCTCAATGCTGAACGCTGCTAATTTTAAAAAAATTGAATTTGGTGTGAGTGCTCATGCAGGTGTGCATGCATGTACATGGATGTCACCAGTCTGGCAGCCACATTCTGGATCTGCTGCAGCCTCCAGATCAGTCTCGAGGAAAGGTCTCCACAGAGAGTGTTACAGTTCCCAAGTCTAAAGGAAGATAGATATTTAACTAACAAAATTACTTATGAGGCATATTTAACTAGTGCATCCAACCCAGAATTTCCCATTTATCCATTATTAGATATTGAAGGGGGTTTTTTGGCAGATATTGACTTAGGAATCAGTGAATAACCTCTTCCCCCACACAGACTGCAAAGGCAATTTCAAGATAAGAGGTGGTTTAAATTATCTCATGCCCGTCCTGTTTTAACTTTTCTTGCACATCTAATCTTCAAACTACCTTTTGAACTTCGGAAATTAGGGGACATTTTGGAGGTTTAAGCACTGAGAAGAGAGTTTTGGTGCCTGAGGCCCTTTGGATCCTTTCTCCTTATGTAGTGAAATGTTGACTTTCATGCTGGTTGTAAAGAAAATTTTGTAAAGTATATTAAGAGAAGGAGAACAAAATAGCGGCTGAAATGCTTTTGCTTTAACTTGCATTGTATAAGGCCAATGATGTGATCAGCCACAGTGATTTTCTGGAATAAAAAAATTCCAGCTACCCCTCTCTGTCCAGATCCTGATGGTCCTGTGGAACCTCTTTTGTCATGGAGAAGCTGTGCTTGAGGGGTGGGTGTCTTCAATTTTCCAAAATCCCCACCACTGGTAAAATCTTGTTGGCAACAGTTGCTGCAGCTCATAGTATCATTATTTTACACATTGTAAGTTAAAGCAACAGTGTTTCAATTTCTTATTGATTGGGTGTGGTGAGAGTGGGATCAAAATACTAGCAGTTGGCCATATTTCTGAAATTACCAAGCATGCATTTATATTTTGTAAGGTGATGGTGAGGTTGTAGAACAAGTAATAGGACAACAAACATCTGAGCAGGATGAACAGGAACCCAGCATACTTGATGGAATGATCAGACAGTTACAACAACAACAAGACCAAAGAAATGGCACTGACGAAGATGGTCTTCGCCCTGGACCACCAAATGGAGAAGAAACACAGAGAAGAGGTCAGTGCTTACCTTGAAGGAACAGTATTAATTCATTAGAACGTTTTCTATTGTGGGCAAATTACTGTATAACTCCATGGCATAAGGACATCTGGGTGCCTGAAAATTAAGGTTCAAAAGGTAATTAGGTTACCATTTAATGCATCAGGAAATAGTATAACTCTTAAATACAGAAAAGTTAATATGTATGGTTCAGATGCAGGACACTGTCTATTACCATTGGAGAAAATGTTTCCTCTGTTCTTTTCAGGAGAGGAATCTGCTTAATTTAGCATGGCAGAGTCCAGATTATGTTTTTTAACATTTAGCATAGCAGCATGATTCACAGCATGATGTTGGTTGCCAAGCGTAGTTGTTTCAGAATATAGTGGTGCCTCACAAGACGAGTGCCCCGTTTAACGATGAAATCGCATCACGACAAACTTTTTGCAATCGCTTTATGATGTTTCCTATGGGGGAATTTCGCTTTGCGATTCTTGCAAAATGATGATTTTCGGCCAGCTGATCGGCGGTTTCAAAATGGCTGCTGGGTTCAAAAAAATGGCTCCCCGCTCTTTTCTGGGATAGATTCCTCGCTGCACGGGCAGCGAAAATGGCCGCGCTATGGAGGATCTTCGCTGGACGGTGAGTTTCAACCCCGTAGGAACACATTAATCGGGTTTTACTATGGGCTTTTATTTTTTGCAACCCCATAGGAACACATTAATCGGGTTTTAGTGTGTTTCTATGGGCTTTTATTTTTCGCATTCCGACGTTTTCGTTCTACAGCGATTTCGCTGGAACAAATTAACGTAATGCAAGGCACCACTGTAAATTGCAGTATGTTATAATGAAAACTATTTAGCAAAATAAAGCATCTGTAATACAACTACTGTATGTTTTTCCTACGCAGTTTTTTAAAAACTTTTAAATTGTAAAAACTAGATTCATGCATGTTTGCATCCCCTTCTTGTATGCACACCTTAACGTGTTGAGGGAGTTTGAATATATCAGAGAAGCTGAGAGCAATACCATCAGGAGGCTGGACTCCATTACAAGCCTAGACTCCTAAGAGGGTTGCCCAAGACAGAATGTTCACAAGTGAGAAGTCAGACTAAGATGCATGCATACTCTTCAGAAGTAATGATTGCATCAGCAGAATAGAATGGATAGTTCAAATGGTGGTGGAGGCAGAAAAGCTTCTGAAGGGCATTTGCCAGGCAGTAACGGTAATTGAAGATGATGCTGGTGTACGATCTTTCACACACAACAGTAGTGACGTAACGGTAATTGAAGATGATGCTGGTGTAGGATCTTTCACAACAGTAGTGATACTGAAGCTAACTTCTGTTAGTACTGCATAGAAGGTGATGGTAAACCACTGCTTTTCTTACCTTGAAAATCCTACGATAAGACAGTCCAAAGTGAACACGGAGAAGGTGCTGGAAGATGAGATTCCCAGATCAGAACTCAATCAGCTACTGGGGAAGAGCAAAAGACTTCCAATAGTATTGTTGCTAATGATGCAACTAGGTTAAAGCCAAAATTATATCTAGTGGCTGTCATGCAGACAGTGAAAGGAAAGTCCAGTGCTGCACAACACATACAGTTGGAACGTGGAACACAAGAACTTACGAATCAAAGTAAACTGGAAACCATAAAGGAAGAAAATGAGGATCACAAGAACTTACGAATCAAAGTAAACTGGAAACCATAAAGAAAGAAAATGAAGATCATTTAAACATTGCAGTGCTTGATGTCAGTGAACTGAAGTGGAGTGGAATAGGACATTTTCAATCAACTACGAAGTGTTTCACCTAGATGATGAGAATGCAAAAGAAGGAAACAAAGCAGAACTGAATGTTGGAAAATTTGGTTTAGAGGACAGAAACAAAGCAGGAGAATGACTCATAAGAGTTTTGTGAAGACACCAGTCTGTCTATTGCAAATACATGCTTCAAGTAACTGAACAGACATTTGTACATATGGATATCACCAGATAGACAGAAATGAGACAGACTATGTAACTGAAAATAAAGAGATGGAGAAGCTGTATTCTCTCGCTATCAAAACAAAGACCAGGAGCATATTGTTGTACTGCTTGCTGCTAGTCTTTGACATGCAGAGCTGGAAGGGACCCTATGAATCATCAAGCCGAGCTCTGGCACAGTGGGGAATCAAACTCCCAACCTCTGACTCTGCAGTCAGATGCCTAAACCACTGAGCTATCCAGCAATTCATAGTGAAATGTTAATATCTTCGATTAGGCATCCTTTAGTCTCGAGAGACTATGGTAACGTGCTCTGTATGGGGGACTCGGAACAGCGTCTAGTGTGGCTGAGAAGGCTGAGAGTGACAATCCCTTCCACATTGAAGAAAAATACAATCTGTCCCCTGTCCAGCTTCCTGATTTTGCTGGATCGGGACTGCCTCTCCGCCTCGGCCTGCTGGACAAGGGCCTCTTCAAATTGGGAGAGGCCATGATGCACCGCCTACATCCAGGCTGAACGTTCAGATGTCAAGGTTTCCCCTCTGTTGAGGTCCATTCCTATTGTTAATACTGTATCAAACGTTACATTAAAGATGAGGAAGAGTGCTATAAGAATCCTAGCACCATAATACAGTATAAACAACATCTTTGATGTATTTAAACTCCACATAAAGAACAGATTTGCATTCCTAAATTCAATTGACTGTGAACCAGATATCTTATTGGAGAAGAATGTAAATACTGTAAATAAATAAATAAAATCCTGTAGCATATGGAAAGACTGAAGGAAAGAAAAATCGAGATGGATGATGGAAGAAATACTTAAAATTGCTAGGGACAAGTAAGAAGTCAAAGTCAAAGGTAACAGAAATAGGACCAGAATCCTGAAGGCAGCTTTTCAGTGACAGTCACATAGAGACAAGTATAATGGCCAGTGCAAGAAATAGAGGAGAACAGCAAAAGAGGAAAAACAAGAGATCTCTTCCAGTAGATCCAAGAAATCAAAGGGAAATTTAAGTCTAGATTAGGAATGCTGAATAATCAACAGAGAGGCACACTATTTGACCAGGATAAAATAAAGAGAAGGTGAAAACAGTATACAGAAGAAATAAAATAATGACAAATTCCTTTGAAGAGGAATCCTATGATGAAGAGCCTCCAATTCTAGAAAGTGAGGTCAAAGCTGCTCTCAACAATAGGTAGAAATAAATCACCAGGGGTGGGTGAAATACCATTAGAACTATTTCAAGTTACAGACACTGAATATGTCAAAATCCTAGTATGAATGTGCCAACAAACATGGAAAACAAAGCAATGGTCAACATACTTGAAATGTTCAGTATACATTGCAGTCTCTAAGAGTGAGAAGCCGAAAAGTGCAATTATAGCACCATTGCTCTAATTTCCCATGCCAGCAAAGTGATGCTCACAATGTTGCAACAGAAGTTTTTATCTTACAGTATATGGAGCAAGAAATGCCTGATATTTAACCTGGATTCTAAAAACAGAGACCAAATTGTGACTACAGAAGAATTACACAACTTTAACACTGCCAATGACAAAATTGAAATTGTTAAATATTTTGTATACAATGGTGCCTAGCATAGCGATCGCTCCGTTGAGTGACGCAATCGCTTGGCGACGGAGTTTTTGCGATTGCAAAAGCGATCGCTTTGCGATGTCCCTACGGTTTTTTTTTTCGCTTTGCGATGATCTCGGGGAAGCAATCATGGCAAAGCGACCCTTTTTTAACAGCTGATCGGCTGTTTCAAAATGGCCGCCGGGAAAACAAAATGGCCGCCCGCTGTTTTTCCTCGCTTAAGAGGCAGCGAAAATGGCAGCGCTATGTAGGATTTTCCCTTAAAGGTGAGGTTTTAAGCCCATAGGAATGCATTAATCACGTTTTAATGTGTTTCTTTGGGCTTCTTAATTTCACTTAGCAATGTTTTCGCTTAGCAACGTTTTTCCAGAATGGATTAACGTCGCTAAGCGAGGCACCACTTTACCTTGTTTCAGTCATCAATCCAAATGGAGAGTGTAGCAAAGAAATTAGAAGACTGAGACACAGAAAGGCAGCAATGCTATATTACTATATGCTAAAATGGTTTGAAATTAGAGCAACATATTCAGGATGAGTAAAGTATCCCCTATATACATTTTTGCTCCCTTTCAGGACCCTTTGAATTTTTTTTTGAAAATATCACCACTAAATATTAGTGCTGTGGTTTTCCAGCAGCTGGTACAGTTTTTCTGGAGTCTTTAACGAATCATTTTATTTTAACATTATTCTGGAAGTCTTTCAACTGCATTCAAACAATTTCTGGTATCTGACTTTCTTCCTGTTTGTTCTCTTTATGAAATGTCTTAATAGTTTGGTGCTGTTTAAGTGTCAGAGATCCAGAAAGCAATGGTTCTCAAATTCTTCTGCTGCTTTTTAGTGTCTTATAATGTAAAAATTTAAAAGTAAAAATGACCCTTTTAAAAAATAAAAATGAAATGTTAAAACATTTAATGTCTTAAATCCTGTGCATATGTTTAGGATTCAGTTGTAATCTCAATGTAAATACTGAATAAGTATATTCAGTATTTCCGTGTGTAAGATGGTGCTTTTATCTAAAATCTTTAGACTGAAAACTGAGGATTGTCATACACAGGGGGGAAGGGATCAAAGCAATGTAGAATCACAGCCCTTTGATCCTGCAGCCCTTTCATCGCTGCTTTACCCCTCCACTTCCTGAGCCCCATGGGGCTTATGAAGTGCTGGGGTAAAGCAGCAATGAAGGGGCTGCAGGATGAAAGTGCTGCAATCCTGCAGCTTTTTCATAGCTGCTTTACCCCTCCACTTCCTAAGATTGCTGCTTTCCTCCTCCACTTCCGCAGCCTTTGATCCTGCTTTCACAGGACTTAGGAAGAGGAGGGGGAAAGCAGCTATCAAATTTTCTTATTTGGGATTAGAAAAATGGGTGTCATCTTATACATGGAAAAATATGGTATAACTGAAGGAATAATATTAATGAAATGAACAAGTGATTAGCAATCACATCTGATAAAGCCTCTTGCAATATCTTAATTATGTTAGAGTTATATAAAATACTATATTGCTTATTTTTGTGTATTGTAGCAACTTAGTTGCATCATTGCAATCTTTACATTTTAAGTTATTAAATAATAAAAAAAATTAAAAGTTAGCTAGCCACTTTGGCCATGCCCTTCTATAAGTACAGCCTCCAAGCTGCCAATTAGTCTCAAAAATGAAGTTGCTCACTTCTAGATGTGTGTTGATTTTTTCTACAATGTTCTTTGCAAAAGTCTTCAGCTGAGAATTATTTGAGCTGCTCCTGCATCCCAGAGTTCCAGCCTAATAATTAGGACAGACTCAAGTCTCATTTAAAGATCAGAGAAGACATAATGTGAATGGAAAAACCTTATACTTGCGGAAACCATATGCTAAACTTTCATCATCATTAAAAATAATTGGGATTTCAAATACTTCTGCCTGCTGGGTTGCGTGAACTTTGGTCTCAAATGAAGATAGAGCCAATGTGCAATTAATAGATAAAAGTAAATATTTCCTCAAAGGCAGGAGATGCAGAATCGGTGTTGCTATCATGCTTACTCACTATCATGCTTGTTTGTTTTTAGATTTTCAAAGATCAAACTCGGATATCCAGTCTCCTCCTAATATTGGCCTGAGGCGTAGTGGTCAAGTTGAAGGTGTGCGTCAGATGCATCAGAATGCTCCAAGGAGTCAGATTGCTACAGAAAGAGACCTCCAAGCTTGGAGACGGAGAGTAGTTGTTCCAGAAGTAACTTCTAGCATATTCAGGTTTGTGAGCTTAGCAAGTATCTGCTATGAAAGGTATCTTCAAAAATCTGTGGTTTTTTCCTCTTTTTTTTCCATTTTAGATTGCACAGCTAAATGTAGGGAAAGTATCTTAAAATCTAGACTTCAGTGAACTTTTTGCTCCAAAGACATTCTTGGGTCACTATAAAACTGCTGGTGCCCCCGCCCCCAAGTTTGTTTGCTGCCTAATCATTTTTCTTCTGTCTTGATTTCAGAATCAAACCCCCTTCTCAAATTCATCTTCAGATTTCTGATTCTAGCTTGGAGTCCTCTAAGGCTAAAGGTGTAACATTTAAGTGTACAGTATTCTGTACAAACTTAAGTTTACTTTATCTTTTTTCTCAGCCTAACAGGACTAATAATAACCCAGTATTTGTGTTCTTGAAGGCTTTCATGGCTGCGATTCAGTGGCTGTTGTGGTTTTTTCGGGCTGTTTGGCCACGTTCTGGAGGTTTTTCTTCCTAATGTTTCACCAGTTTCTTTGGCCTGCATTTTCAGAGGACAGTAGCTAGAAAGAACACAGAAACCTATTTTTTTATATACGGGGTAAAATGTATGCTTCAGTCTTCTTGCAGCCAAAAGTTGATGACAGAAGGTTAAAGTAAGTGATGCTTGTTTCACAGCTGTAATTATGCTTTGTTTGACACATTCTAAAAATACATATTTTTTAGAAACTGTGAGAAATATAGGATTGCAAAAGGAGAAGAGGAGAAACGGCTATATATTGTGGAGCAGAAAAGGAAGTTATTTCAGTCTTCAGACAAGGTAGGATATGTTGGGAGAGGAGAACCATCTTAAGTTACAAATAATGTGGGGAATAAAGAAGCTAGTTATGTTGGAAAACTGAGTGCGAAACCTATACGGGAGGTCTAGTAATGAAGAATACATGTTGCTCTGTATACATGATTTTCTTGGTTTCTTACTTATGCTTACACAATTTCAGCAAACTATGAGAGAATAAATGAATATGCAAATGAATATGTGTGTGAGAGAAGTGGGGAGCAAAAAATGTTTGAGCTTGTGAAAGCATGAGTATGTTTGACACAGGCAAATTTGATTGGACAAGTTTAGGTGGTGAGAAGCATTCATGTTGCTTTTTCCTATGTTACTAAGATTAATTGCCATGCTTCACCTTAGTAAGTCACTTTTGTAAAATGATGGCTGAAACATCCTTAAGTCATTGTTACATTTGGTTCAGAATTGTTGATAGCTATGTCCTATGTATCTTTGGCAGAATTGATTCCAGTATTTCTTTATGCCTAACTTAGTCTTCCTCTAATGTCTCTGATTCAGAGTGACTCTGAAGATTCATTGATGCAGTCTAAAAGGAGACTTTATAGACGTAAATATGCGGCATATCAAGCACGGAATAATATTGACCAGTCCGATTCTTCTAGCGAAGATGTGGATAACTATTTTGGATTTATAGAACAGGTGACTGCTTCTATTATTTTTTTAATAATTGAAAGTACTGGAAGTTTTGACTCCCTTTTTCTGAAACTCCAGTATACTGTCAGAAAAGTCAGAATAGATACAACAAATTTACTGCCCCTTGAGTATAGATAGACATGGCATTTATTATTACATTTGGGTTGACTGTGCTGTATCAGGAGTGGGTGACTTCAGCAGGGCTAGAGGCCATGTTCATATTTTCTGGTGGCATGATGGTTGACCTCCCAAGGTGGAAGTATGTGTATATGCTTTTATTCTTGTTGAAGCAGCTGTGTTTATATGTAAAGATTATGTGTAGAACTAATGTATGTTTTGTATGTTGTGCTTTAGTAAACCTAGTACATTGTTTTGGTAGCAGAAAGAATTAGAGAACTAATGTTCTTTTATTTTTATTACCCTGAGACAACTTGATACAAATTTAATTTAATAAACACGAACAAGAGAATGAAGAACTGTGAAGATCATCCAGTTTGTAACATAATTTTTAACTTGGTGCTGATATGTTTTCATCCAGGAAGCAGAAGAAAGTGATGGTTTGAGTTTGTCTTCCAATGAGGAAGAATGGAAGACTGATAGAAAAACTGACAGTAACAGTTCCAGGTAAAATCAGGTTGTTTCTTCTCCATTTAATTCTTAGTCTTTGGGAAGGAACCATCCAGGAAAGGTAGGCTGTTCCCTTTTGCTGCCCAGCTAAAGAAAGCTTCACATATCTAGGGCACTTGGATAGCTTATCCCACAGTTCTTTCCCTGTCTAAGCCCATGACTGGCTTCTCACATTTTCAGTTATTTAGGAGTACTTACTTTTAATATTTAGATATTTTTGTCTTAACTGGTATTTTTCTGTGGTGGCCAGAACTTTGAGAAATAAGAAGAAAGATGGGGAAAATGTGGAGATGGCTGTCTCAACTTGGCAAGATTGCCAAAGAATGGTGATTTTATGAGCATTCATCATTAATATTAAATTCAGTTTTAGCATTCCAGAACTCTGTGCAGAGTCTCAGGATGTCCTAGTTCCACCAGTCTTCTCTGTGTATTCCTTTCAACTCCTGTGACCCCAGATTTCTCTTCAATGTTAAGTGGGAATAGGTCTCAGTCATACAGTCCTTTGGCAGCCACACTGGCCCTTGCTTTTGGAAATTTTACATCTGGTAGTTGGATGGGCAGTGGCATCTCTCTCTTCTGCCTCATCTTCTTACAAAGGACTAGCTGCCATTCAGACCCAGGTTGGCTCCGTCTAGCCCGATGGCATCCAAAAGGGAGTCTTATCTGAGTTTGAGTTATTTGCATATCTTGTCATCAGCATCCCGAAATCTCAGAGGCCTCCATGAGTGAAACTGTATGAAAGGCACTTGTTTGATGGCATAGATGCAGATCTGTATCTCAGTGTAACTGGTATAAGAAAAGCTCAACATTTTTCCCATGCAAACATGGGCCTAGGCCTGAAGCTCAGAACCTTGAAGTGTGAAACAGTAGTTCTTTTGTATGATAGTTGTATATTGTCATATGTATCATTATATGGAGTCTGTGAGATTTTAAAGTTTAAATTGTTAAACCACCCAGAGTAGTGCATACACTAATGGGGCGGTATGTCTATCAGTCAAATAATCAAATAAATATGTGCATTAGATATGCAAAGCTTTTTTTTCTTTGCTAACCTATCCTGACTGGGTGCCGAAAGGGCAATTACTATACTTTCTGAATTTCTCTTTCCTTGTATGTTAGAAGACCCCAAAGGGAATACACAATTTCTGCAAGTGACTTTCTGAAAAAGGAGCATGTGCTCTCCCTCCTCTTACAAAAGCAGTGGTGGTTGGAGTTTATCGGGAAACCAAAGGATTTTCAAAAGTTAAACTTAAGAGACTTCATCTATAGTTAAAGTACCATCTTGAAATAGTATCAGTGAAATGTCAATTATCAGACTATTTATGTTGTGTTTAGAGGAAGCAGGAAAAATATAATCTAGCAGGTAGTCTTGTTAGTCTGTTGTAGGAAAAGAGAAATCAGAAACCATGCAGTACCCATAAGGCAATTTTTTATTTTTTATAAGCTTTCATGCATGCAAACATTTCATCAGATGAGTAGAATAGCTGTAACTCTGAGGGGAGTATAAAACTGTTGGCAGTTTAAAATCATTGGCTTTAAAAGTATGTTTATCTTTTCAACGTTCAAAATGCAAAGTTCACCAGAAAGTACATTGCAATTAAGTCATATGATCACCTCCTTTTCTTTTATAAGTGTAGACAGTTTAGTTTGAAATTCCACATATGGGCATCTATAAAGTATTAGTCCAGAACAGCTATAATGGTCAAGCATATCTATTTTAAAGGTCCTATGACCTAACCTGGTTCTTTCTAAAGTAGTTTAACTCTGAATAACATCCAGCAAACTTTAAAGTATTACTTCAAATGTATTCATTCAGATCTATAACTTGGCAGTATGTGTATTCTCCCTAAACAGTGACTCCTCAAGCCAGTATTCTGACTGGATAGCTGATGCAGGGATTAACCTACAACCTCCTGTAAGAACTTCTCGACGCACGACTATCAAATACTGTAGTTCTTCAGAAGATGAGGTATCGTTGGAAAAAATATCTCCACCAAAGAGGAAGAAGAAAAGACGGAAAAAATACAAAACTAAAATGCATGAGGAGGTATTGTGGGTTTTTCTCTTCTATTTTCATGTATACGAATTAACCACTGTGCCATGAGTTTTCCTTGTATAATTATCTTGTAAACTTGTCCAGGTAGTGCTATAGCACTATGTGGAGGTATATATAAAAAAAAATTTAATAATAACAATATAGTTTTTTAATTAGGCTTAGATTACAAAAATGGGATGTGGGAGCACCCCTTGATAAAATAAGATCTCTGTCTAAATTTTGACTGATTCACCTGGTTCTTTGAATTGATGGAGAAAGGGAAGGAAGAGTGAAGTTAACCACTCTTAAGAAAGCACCTGCAACCTCTGGAAGAAGGCGCTTGCTCTTTCATCCATGTCTTGCCATAGGGCAAATGAGAAAAATGGTGCATGTTAGGCGTATGCTTTCTTTTATATTTTTTATTGCTCCAGGCAGAATTCTGGAAGGTGCAGTGTATAGGTAGAGGTTTGTGCACCTATAGGTTCCTCCCTCTCAGTGAAGGGTTTTTGAATTATTTATCTTCACCACTAGCTTCTGTGGCCTTTGCTTCTAGATTTCTGGTTAATTTGTGAAAAAAGAAAGTTGACATGCTGCTTCCTGATAGTCATAGTTCGTTGGGAGGAGGTCTCTATAGGGCCGAATGGGCAGTGAAGCTGTGATTCCCATAGGAGGGTCAGGTCTCTGCTGCTTGGTCAGTCATGTGACTGAATAGGGAGAAACAGGCTCTTGCGAGCTTAGAGGATGCTGGGAGTTGTAGTCTCCGCCTATTAGGCTCTACAGAGGGCGCCTCCTGAAGAACTGTGACTCCCAGGAAGAACTGTGGCAGATTTCCTTTTAAAAAAATAAACAAGAAACAGGGAGAGAAAGAATCTAAAAGTGTGCAGATTTCTATTTGTGGGCTGTACCTCCTAGGATTCTTCCGAGGGAATTCTTGGAGAATTCTGGGAATTTCAGTCCAAAAACACAAAAGAGTACGTCTCTAGTGTTCATATAATTCTAGACAAAAGTAGCTTAATATTTTCCTAGCAGAAAGATCTGAAACAGCTTATCTGGAAAAAGGTTGCAAATGTAATTCATTGGGTAGCTTTGATACAAATCATTATCTTAATTCCTTATTTTTAAAATGGCAAAAATTAATAACTTGCCTCTAAGTATATCTGTATTCCATGTTTATACCATATAAGTACAGATACTACGTTTTGGGAAAATAATTTTTTTGGTCTCTGTGGCCCTTTATTATGAAACCACAGAAGTGCTGATGAAAATTTTGCAAGAATAATTGAAATGTATCTGTAAGTTTTCTTTGCTAGTTGTACAAAGAAACTGTATTTAAAACATGCAAAAAAGTGCTTGTGTCCTAACAAGAAAATATAGAAACTGACTGTAACTTTAGTAAAGCCATCTTCCACACTTTTAAAGAATTAATTGGCTGACATTCATAACATTGCATTCTAAATTGAGTAATCTTTTCTAAGGATGTTGAAGTGAATGCCTCCCAACAACCTGCAACCCCAGAACTGCCCAGTGAGTTCCACCCTCCAGACTGGATAACAAATGTCAGACTTCGAAGGTCGCCCTTTGTCCCACAAATGGGTGATGAGGTGAGAGGACTTAAACTGTGCTACATGAATTGAAATCTACATTGAACAGTTCCACAGTTGGTTGCATGTCATGAGAAAGAAGTTCAAGTTGAAAGCCACACTGTGATTGTGTTTAGTCTTTTTATAGCCTTAAAGCATGCCTTTAAAAAAGAAAAGGCAAAAGCCAATACAATTGGTTCCAGCAACATCACAGAAGTTGCCAGAGCGAAGAGGCTCCAGGTACTTGCAGACAGAGTCTATCCAGAATTACAGTGTGGATTTCGCGCTAATAGATCTGCCATTGACATGGTATTTTCCCTCAGACAGTTGCAGGAGAAATGTAGGGAACAACAACAGCCACTCCTTGTGGCCTTCACAGATCTCACAAAGGCCTTTGATTTGGTTAACAAGGATGGCCTTTTTAAAATACTTCCCAAGTTTGGATGTCCATCTTGCCTCCTTAACATCATCAGGTCCTTTCATGAGGAAATGAAGGGCACTGTCATTTTTGATGTAGCTCAACATCAGGTCCCTTTGACATCCGAAACAGAGTGAAACCTCAACAGATGGGAAACTTTGACAGCCTGGAGTCATGTGGTGCAGCATGTCCTCTCCCAATTTGAAAAGACACTTGTTCAGTAGGCCGAGGCAAAGGGGCAGTCCCGAAACGAGCAAAATCAGGGAGCTGGACAGGGGACAGATTGTATTTGTCTTCGTTGTGGAAGGGTTTGTCATTCTCGATTTGGCCTTCTCAGCCACACCACAAGACACTGTTCCAAGACCTCTGTTCAGAGCACGTTACCATAGTCTCTTGAGACTGAAGGATGCCTACACATTAAAAAAGAAAAGTGTGGTGATGTTGACGGTGTACAAACTGTTATCCTGGAACCATCTGTGGCCTTTGGCTGCTTCTTGTGTTGTCCCTGAAGCTGGTGGCAATATTCCACATTTTCCAGTACTGGAATTGGGCAGTGCAGTTTGGGACACTTTCCTGGCTTCAGATGTTACTGTTAACCTGTTGCTAGCAGGAATGTAGATTGTGATCACGGTGGAGATTGTTGGGGATGAAACCCTGCTGAGGTGCTTGTATGTGTATGTGGGTGCACTCTCATTAGATGTTTCCTTAAGGGTAAAATTGTGCATTTCTAATTTACAACCACAGGAGGAACAACTAAAGTATATTTAGATTGCATAGTTAAGATTAATACCTTGTGCTAGTTTCTATTCAACCTGGGTGAATGTGCAGTGGTGGGAGGTGGAAGATGGTAAGTGGAAGTGATAATGGGTGATCATCTCCCTCAATAATCAGTGCAGTCAGTCTTACAACTAAATAGAAAAAAATGTTTCTAATTTCAGTACACCACTAATTTTGTACACCACTGTGATTTTCATTCCCTGACATAAAAACTTGTTTCTATTAGGTGATATATTTTCGACAAGGCCATGAAGCTTACATTGAAGCAGTGAGAAAAAACTGTATTTATAAACTGAATCCTCACAAAGAGCCGTGGAAGAAAATAGTTCTTAGGGTAAGACTGATTCTGCACTGGTTGTTACTCCTCCTTTGGATATTAATCTACAATTATTCTCATTGGTCACAGTAAATTAGGGAAGGTCATAAGACAGTATGAGGTGAGCATTTAAATTTATAACAAAGGGAAGAATCAAGGCCTCATATTTTGGGCATAACTTGATCTGCTTTACCATGGTAAGTCGTCCATGTGTTATTAATCACAAAAGTATGATACAGGCTATGGAACAATGGTCTGCAGTTCATCTGTTCGTTAATTGTCTGATGTTCATTTGCATTTATTACTGCTTCTGGCTCACCTGTTTTCACTGTTTGGCATGCTTCTGAGAGTGAGCAGGGAAATATGTAAGCACTACTGTGAGGACAACTGATTGCTCTTTCCTGATTACTTTCTTTGGACACTGCAGCAGGGTGAACAAACTAAGAGAATAGCCATGTTTTATAAACGATTGTGCAAGAATAGGTTCTATAACAATTCTCACTTCTGCTTGTGCAAGAAGTTGTGCAAACCAAGGAAATATCTTTGGATTTGATTTTCCTTTGCTCTGACAGCGGTCTGCTGCCAGACTAGCAGATGTAGGAGATAATTGTTCCTTTTCATTCAGCTGTGTATCTGTTTTGTCTTGAAATACTTGTGTTTCCCTTCTGTTGAAACAGTTAATGATCAAAATTATCCAGAAATAGCATCAGAATGGTATTTGTTCCTTTTTAATGTTTGCATACTTACTGTTTTAGCTTTAAATATAGTCTTTTAATGATGTAAACCACCATTTTATACTCATTGTTTTCAACTTCAAATACTGTCTTTCAATTATGTAAGCCGCCTAGGGTCCTTTCATAATGAGAAAGGTCGGGTAACATATTTTAAATAAATAAATGAATATTCTTTTAGAACTCTCACTACAAGTTGCAGTGTTTTCTGTTCATTGTCTTAAAAGGCAAGGAATTTTAAATTTGAATTTTGATGAAAAGTTGCTTTCTAGGAAGTGGTAACAAATACAAGGTAAACCCTAAATCTTGATCTCTGTTTTTTTGAAGGTTTAATCTAAATCTAACTATAAGCAATATAGTTTTACTCAACTGGTGTTAATCTTGATTTTATGTATATCTGTTGTTAGGAACAAGAATTGGTAAAAATTGTTGGGATACGTTATGAAGTTGGGCCTCCTACACTCTGCTGTCTCAAACTTACTCTTATGGATCATGTTACAGGACATCTTCAGGACAAATCATTTTCTATTAAGTATGTATATATGTAACATATTTAAATGTTAGCAATATAGGTAATTTGTGGACATTTGAAGACTAAATTGTAACCTTTCTTTTAGATACCATGATATGCCAGATGTTATTGACTTCCTGGTATTGCGTCAGTTTTATGATGAAGCAAGGCAAAGAAATTGGCATCCTTGTAAGTCTGTCCTCCTGAAATTATGGAAGAATCTTGGGAACGTCGATAGTGATAAATAAATTGATGATACAGTGTTAATTCTGAATATTCAAGCTAAGTGTGTGAACTCATGTTGTGTATTGCCAAGGGGGCAGGGAATGCAATAGAGAAGATGGGGCAGCTTTCAACTTTGTGTTTCCTGGTGAAGTTCGACTATAGCCAGCTGACTGGAGTGATAGATATGGTGATCAGCGACACTGGAATTCAAAGACTGAGTGAAGCTTGTAGAGAGGATGAAAGAGACAAAATGTAATAGTTAAACTATTTTCCTCGTGGTGTACTGGAAGAAAGTTAGTTAAAAATAGTTGTATATCTCATTTCTGTCTTGTAGATGATCGCTTTCGTTCAATTATTGATGATGCTTGGTGGTTCGGAACTGTTTTGAGTCAGGAGCCATATCAGCCACAATATCCGGACAGCCCTTTTCAGTGTTACACTGTTAAGTATGTATATGTTTGCTGGCATGTAGTCATTTCAGATTGGCAATAGAAACAGAATTTGTAGCTGCAGGTAGTCTTGTGAAAGTTTATAATAAAAAATAGAGTACAAGAAAACTCCAAAACCTCACACTTGACTTTATCTTTTTTAGTTTTTACATTAAGCAAGATAGTAAATGTATCTAAATACAGTGGTGCCTCGCTTAGCAACGTTAATCCGTTCCGGAAGAAATGTCGCTAAGCGATTTAATCACTAAGCGATTTTTTAAAAGCCCATAGAAACACATTAAAATTTGTTTAATGCGTTCCTATGGGCTTTAAAACTAACCTTAAGCGAAGATCCTCCATTGCGGCGGCCATTTTGGGTGCCTCTAAAGCGAGGCAACACAGCAGGCAGCCATTTTGTTTTCCGGCTGCCATTTTGAAATCGCCGCTGGCCGAAAATGGGGGCTTTGCGGTGATCGTTTCCTGCGATCAAATGCAAAGTGTTTTTTCCCCATAGGGGCCATCGCTAAGCGATCTCTCTGGCGATGGCCAAAACCCCAAACTAAGCGATTTCATTGCTCAACGGAGCGATCGCTAAGTGAGGCACCACTGTATATCTAATTCAATTGCTAATTCAAAACACATTAAAAGGCACTTCTTTTTGTTTAAATTTTTGGTTTTTATGAAATCTGGTTTATATAGTCCCTTTAGGGCCTGAGAAAAGCATACTTAAATCACTAGTAATTTCTGTTGAGAAACTGAGACTTGATTGTAAGGGTTGAGGCAAAATCCTATTGTGCATCTCGATTGGGCACCAGAAACATTCAGTCTACACTAATTAAAGGCTTCTTATATCCCCGTTTTAGATTCGGAGGCTTTCTTTTGTCTTTGGGAAGTCTTTGAGAGTGTCAGGACAGGGATGGGGAGCCTTTAAAAGTAAAAAAAAATGCTGCTGTATTGGTGTCAGCGGTCATTGGCAGCAATCCAACAGTGATCCAATCCTCCGCCCCGTCACGTAGCTCCTAAAGCCTTCCCCAGGGCAAAAGGAAGCTCAGGGAAGCCTCTAAGCCTAAAGTCAGAAAAGCTTTTCATTAGTGTAAGTTAAATCTTTCCAGTGCCTGATCCAAGTTGCAGCAGGTGAAAAGTTACACAATAGGATTTTGTCCATTGTATCATTTGCTCCAGAAGAAGAAACTTATCAATCAAAATGTGTCGAGCTTGGATACGTTGCTCTTAAAGTTTGTTTGAGATCAGTTCTTTTCTTGTTCTGGCATTCAGAAAGATAAAATTCAGGATCTAGACTAAAGGGTGACTTTTTCTACATGAGAAAAATGTGCCTATGTCAGACTAAAGTTTCACTTAATTCAGTACTCTAAAATCAAAGTAATAACATGGGGGGAGGGGAAAAATATCAACCATTTATTTTCTTGACATATAACCTCTCACCTGTAAGTACTGTAATTATATTTGCAACCCCAGAAGTTTCCTAAGAAAGTTGAAGAATGCAAAACCTCAATGACAGCCAGGTGGTGTAGGGGTAGAGTAAGATTCAGAAGACCTGGAAACACACTTTGCGTTAGATGGCAGTGGTAAATCACTCATTGAACATCAGAATTGGGATTGCCATATATTGGAAAAACAGCATATAACAACAAAACTGAATAAAAATGGAAACGTAAAGTCTCTTTACAAATAAACAAACAATCCTTCCTCTACCTTAACAGAAGGGAGAGAGAATAACATGCCTGTAGCATCCTGAATAGTTATATATCAGATCTTCAAATTATAATGATGGAAATTAAGCACAGGCAACAACAATTGATTGTTAAAATTCAGGATCTGCTGGATTAGTTCCTCTCATAGAGATAAGGAGAACTATTTATTGGATGTGGTCTCTACAGGACAGAAGGGAAAACCCCTGCTTATTTTTATTTTAAATATGCTTTGCCCATTCCTTTCTCTAATTGTCATATGAGCAGAAGTATCTAAAATCCATATTTTAATTTGGTCTGGTCTGTATTGGGAGAGGTAATTCGTTTCACTTCTTTGTGTTTATCAAATAGATGGGACAATGGTGAAATTGAAAGGCTTAGCCCATGGGATATGGAGCCAATTCCAGAGAATGGTATGCTAAAAATAGTTAACATTTTTAACTGTTTGTCTCTTTGTTCAATTTAAAAAGATATTTATAAATGAAATAAGTGATAAATTGGTGGACTTTGCCTGTTATAGAGAATCAGCAGCTGGGGTGGGGCAACTGATATGTGCAGATGTTCTTGATGTGTTATCCTTCTGACAACAGGCTCAGATTGCTTCAGTCAAATTGCTTTTTAAAAAAGGGATACAACACAAAGGGTTATGCAGCCACTACTTTAACATGACATGTGATCCATTGTATTCCTGATTCTTTTTGAAATCCCAGTCAGTCCCAGGAACCTATTAAGTTTGAGCAGACAAATAAGGCAAGGAGCTGTGGCTTGAATTGATTCCTCCTTTTATCTGCCTGCAAATGCAACATGTTACTTTTATCTTTTCCAACATGAAGAGAAAAAACAGCAACTGGGAGTAATTTTAAATGGAAAAACTGAGTGGAAACAGCTAAGCATTCTCCACTTCAGTTCCTTATTCAACTGGGGGTGGGGGCGTGGAATCAAACTATATCATTGCCTCTTGGGTCTAATTGTAAGCACGGGGAGTGGGGACTCAAGAAGAAACAAAGAACAAAACAAAGGAAAACAAGAATTACTGAAACGCGACTGAGACATGCTTCATGTATTTTAAGTATCATATTACTGAGCATGTACTTCATCTTAATATTCCTTTATGAGCACATGATCCTTTATCTAGTGTATAGGGATGGGCAGTGCAGCTCTCCAGAAGTTGCACTCCTTACCTTTGCCTTTACTGGCTAGGACAGATGAGAGTTGTAATCCATGGAAGTCCAGAGTGCCACACTTTGCCTATCCCTCTGCCCCTTCATATGTTTTTGGTTAATAACTCCCGTAAACGTCAGAAAAGTTGTTGATGAGGGAATGTGAGATTTGCAGCCAGAAATATCTGGACAACCATAATTTCCAAGTCCTGGTTTAGTAATGCAAAGGTCTGCATGAGAAAGGTGTGTGCTTGTATTGGACTAAACCTTGACAGCACGACAGCCTACTCTATGAAATCACTAAATTTATCATGATGTAAGGCCAGCTTCTTCTTTGTGGTCTCTGTGAATGCCCATTGTATTGGACTAAACCTTGACAGCACGACAGCCTACTCTACTGAAATCACTAAATTTATCATGATGTAAGGCCAGCTTCTTCTTTGTGGTCTCTGTGAATGCACACAAATGGGCTTTAGTGTGCGTGTGCAGAGACTCTCAGAGAGAGAGAGAGAGAGAGAGAAGATAGAGAGCCCACTGCCCCATCCATGGAATAGGTATCTAACCTGTATACCCATGTGGTGGGATATTACAGATGTGAATATTAAATACAGATAGTGAAATTCATATAGTTGGAAGGTCATAAACATTTCAGTTTATTAAACATGCTATCTTTTGTATTCTTCTCTTTTCACCTCTTTTTGTTGAAAATAAGTAGTTGACCAGCCTGAGGAATTGGGAGCTAGTGTTTCTGTGACTGTTGAAGAAATGGCAAAACTATTATACAAACCTCAAAGGGGGGAATGGCAGGGAAAATCCCAGAATGAAGAATGTGAACGGATTATTTCTGGAATTGATCAGCTTCTGAGTCTTGGTAAGGATCTTGAAATTTGTTAACAGTCTCCCTCATTTCTAAATGTGTATGAGAGAGAGAGATTAGGATGAACCTGGAATATATATTGTGACTATAAATGCACTTTGCCCCAAGCTTTTCTAAATTTGTCAAAGGAAAGTTTAGCTTGTTTTTATAGCATGGCACATTATTTGTGTGAAACCTTTATGGTAAACCTTTTAGCTGCTACAGCTGATCAGACTAAATATTTTGACAGGTATTTCAGCAGCATTTGCTGGTCCAGTTGATCTGAATACATATCCAAAATACTGTACAGTGATAGCTTATCCAACAGACCTGTGGACTATCCGGATGAGACTAGTTAACAAGTTTTACAGGTTAGTCTAATTTGGTAATGAAATGAATGTGAATGTACCCTTTTTTGCAAAACTGCTGTGAAGTTAAGCATTTGTTTGTTGTTTAGTCGTTAAGTCATGTCCTTCTCCTTGTGACCTCATGGACCAGAGCACACCAGGCCCTCCTGTCTTCCACCGCCTCCCGGAGTTTGGTCAAATTCATGTTGATAGCTTCGGTGACACTGTCCAACCATCTCATCCTCTGTTGTCCCCTTCTCCTCTTGCCTTCACATTTTCCTAACATCAGGGTCTTTTCCCATGCGTCTTGTCTTCTCATGAGATGGCCAAAGTATTGGAGCCTCAGCTTCAGGATCTGTCCTTCCAGTGAGCACTCAAGGTTGATTTCCTTCAGAACGGATAGGTTCTCCTAGCCTCTCCTCAAGAGTCTCCTCCAGCACCACAGTTCAAAAGCATCAATTCTTTGGTGGTCAACCTTCTTTATGGTCCAGCTCTCACTTCCATACATCGCTACTGGAAAAACCATGACTTTGACTATGTGGACCTTTATTGGCAAGGTGATGTCTCCGCTTTTTAAGATGCTGTCTAGGTTTGTCATTGCTTTCCTCCCAAGAAGCAGGTGTCTTTTAATTTTGTGGCTACTGTCACCATCTGCAGTGATCATGGAGCCCAAAAAAGTAAAATCTGTCACTGCCTCCATATCTTCCCCTTCTATTTGCCAGGAGGTGATGGAGCCAGTGGCCATGATCTTAGTTTTTTTGATGTTGAGCTTCAGACCATTTTTTGCACTCTCCTCTTTCACTCTCATTAAGAGGTTCCTTAATTCCTCCTCACTTTCTATCATTAGAGTGGTGTCATCTGCATATCTGAGGTTGCTGATATTTCTTTCGGCAGTCTTAATTCTGGCTTGGGGTTCCTCCAGTCCTGCCTTTCGCATGATGTATTCTGCATATAAGTTAAATAAGCAGGGAGACAATATATAGCCTTGTCGCACTCCTTCCCCAATTTTGAACCAATCACTTATTCCATATCCAGTTCTAACTGTTGCTTCCTGTCCCACATATAGATTTCTCAGGAGATAGATAAGGTGGTCAGGCAGTCCCATTTCTTTAAGAACTTGCCATAGTTTGTTGTGGTCGACACAGTGAAAGGCTTCTGTGTAGTCAATGAAGCAGAAGTAGATGTTTTTCTGGAACTCTCTGGCTTTCTCCATAATCCATCACGAGTTAGCAATTTGGTCTCTAGTTCCTCTGCCCCATCGAAATCCAGCTTGTACTTCTGGGAGTTCTCGGTCCACATACTGCTGAAGCCTACCTTGTAGGATTTTGACATAACCTTGCTAGCGTGTGAAATGGGTGCAATTGTATGGTAGTTGAAGTATTCATTGGCCCTGCCCTTCTTTGGGATTGGGATGTAGACTGATCTTTTCCAATCCTCTGGCCACTGCTGAGTTTTCCAAACTTTCTGACAAAAATACAAAGACAAGAGCAAACAGAAAAAAGCAAAACGGGCACCTAAAGTGTAGCACCTTAACAGCGTCATTTTTTAAGATTTTAAATATTTTGACTGGAATGCCATCGCCTCCACTGGTCTTGTTGTCAGCCATGCTTTCTAAAGCCCACTTGACTTCACTCTCCAGGATGTCTGGCTCAGGGTCAGCAACCACACCGAGTTGTCGGGAACATCCAGATCTTTCTGGTATAATTCCTCTGTGTATTCTTGCCACCTCTTCTTGATGTCTTCTCCTTCTGTTAAGTCTACCATTTTTTGTCCTTGATCATGTCCATCTTTGCACAAAATGTTCCTTTAATATCTTCAATTTTCTTGAACATATCTCTGGTTTTTCCCTTTCTGTTATTTTCCTCTATTTCTTTGCACTGTTCACTCAAGAAGGCCCTCTTGTCTCTCCTTGCTATTCTTTGGAAGTCTGCATTCAATTTTCTGTAAGTTTCCCTGTCTCCCTTGCATTTTGTTTCCCTTCTCTTTTCTGCTATTTGTAAGGCCTCGTTGGACAGCCACTTTGCTTTCTTGCATTTCCTTTTCTTTGGGATGGTTTTGTTGCTGCCTCCTGTACAATGTTACAAGCCTCCAACCAATAGTTCTTCAGGCACTCTGTCCACCAAATCTAGTTCCTTAAATCTGTTCTTCACTTCCACTGTGTAGTCATAAGGGATTTGGTTTAGATTATACCTGACTAGCCCAGTAGTTTTTCCTACTTTCTTCAGTTTAATCTTGAATTTTGCTATAAAAAGCTGATGATCAGAGCTACAATCAGCTCCAGGTCTTTTTCCCCCTGACTGTATAGATCTTCTCCATCTTTGGCTGCAGGGAACATAATTAATCTGATTTCAGTATTGCCCATCAGGTGATGTCCATGTGTAGAGTCGCCTCGTGTTGTTGGGAAAGAGTGTTTGTGATGACCAGCTTGTTCTCTTGACAAAACTCTATTAGCCTTTGCCTTGCTTCGTTCTGAACTCCAAGACCAAACTTACCGGTTGTTCCTTTTATCTCTTCACTCCCTACTTTAGCATTCCAGTCCCCGATAATGAGAAGAACATCTTTCTTTGGTGTCAGTTCTAGAAGGTGTTATAAGTCTTCATAGAACTGGTCAATTTCAGCCTCTTCAGCATTGGTGGTTGGTGCATAAACTTGGATCACAGTGATGTTGAAAAGTCTGCCTTGGATTCATATTGAAATCATTTTTCTTTGCATCTGAGCATCCTTTCGGCTTTGGCCGAACCACTTCATTAGCTCTGGAGCTACTCGTACTTGTCCTCCGCTCTTCCTCAGTAGCGTGTTGGATGCCTTCTGACCTGAGGGGCTCATCTTCCAGTGTCATATCTTTTAGCCTTTTGTTTCTGTTCATGGAGGTTTTTTGCAAAGATACTGGAGTGTTCTTCTTTGTGGCCTCTGTGAATCCATACAAGTGGGTTTTACTGCGACTGCGCAGGACTTCTTGGAATATTCTAGAGCTTTAAAAGGCATGAGTAATAGGACGTTGCCCCGCGGCGCGCATGCTCTGCCCGCCCATATTACCTCAGTTCCTTTTAGCCGCCGCTGAAATTGGACATTTGTTATGTGGAGCTAGTGATTGTGATTCTAGTAACAGTATACTGATCTTTGGGCTGTTTACAATTACGCTTTTGGATGCGAACTCAATCTCATTTTTCATTTCCGGATGTTTCCCTATGAGTTATTTTTCTTGTTCTTTCCTTTGCCCCCTTTCCCGTCGTTTTTAATGGCCTCCACAGGCCCTTTCAAGCATTGTGCGACATGTACCAGTAAAATTCCCTTTTCCGATTGCTATGACCGCTGCTTGTTTTGTTTGGGCGAGAGTCACCAAACTCAGAATTGTCCGAAGTGTAAGATATTAACGAAACCAGCCCTAAAATTGCAGCTTCAACAGCTGAGATCCCATTTGTGGGAAAAATCTTTCGCTCCATCCAATCTGCCGACAAGCCCTACTATGGAACTCACCCCAGTTCCACCGCCTCAGTCCAAGTTTTCCATTCCAGTGATCCTATACCCTCACCGTTGGCCTTTTGGCTAAGATCAAGTGTAGTGTGTGTGTGTATACCCTCACCAAGGGTTTCCTCTAAGGCTCCAAAACCAAAGTCACCATCGGTATCGATGTCGACATCTATGTCAAAGACCTCTTCAAAGACCCATCCTACTAAGAAACAAAAATACAAAGACAAGAGCAAACAGAAAAAAGCAAAACGGGCACCTAAATCATATCAGCCTCGAGAGACGCCAGTTGCCCATGTCTCCCCTCCATCCCCCATCCTGGAGGAATCATCGAGGGGCGTTCCTTACCAAGGCTCCGTTTCTGAGATGGGACAATTGAATTTTCCCACCTGGGTTCAAGCTTTGGTCTCCATACCAAGCTTGTTGCCAAGTCGTGGCTGTTCAGAGGCAGACATCATATCCAACACGGCCTTGGCCCATTCTAGCCCTGTTTTGACTGGGCAGGCAACCATTATACACCTCTCAAATTCAGAGGCATCGATCTCACAGTCTCCTCGGAGAAGGAGGACAACAAAGAGAAGCCACATCTCTCCATTACCTCAGTATCAAGAGGTAATCCTTGTCCCGCATCCCTCTCGGCGCCGTGCCTTTCATGGATAGAAACAGCCTCTTTATGATGCAGATCAGTATGGTGACCAGCACCGGTGTCTATTCGAGCAGTATGACTCAGCTTTTGCTCCAAAATACTATCAACATCACAAATGTGTTCAATACGCTTAGAGCCCGTCTGAATCATCGCTGTCACCATCTCCCATTTGGAGTCGACATCGAGCTAGTATCAAGCCCGTTTCAGTGGTGTTGAAGCCTAAAAAAATCTAAGCACCATTTCCATGTCACTAAAGTACCTCTTTGTGATCCAGTTCCAGCTTGACACAAGTCAACTCATTGTGAACCGGCTCAATCAAAACAACGTTCTTCGATACCAATGACTTCGCACCAGTCTGTCTCCCTGTCTGCATCCCGTTCCAATCATCTGGTCTCAGCACCTATGGTTTCTTTTTCTAGACATCATCATCATCGTTCTTCCTCACCAGCTCTTTCTGTCTCTGAGCAATTGTCTATATCGACAGTTTCTGATCAGGATCAGGGGAATCACCATGAAATCTACCAACCCCAGATTCTGATGTTGCAAATGTGCACCCACCGTCGCCATCTGAAGATTTTACTTCTTATGCTCAATTCATTCTTCGTATGGCCAGATCACTAGAATTCTATATTGAACAATCATCTCCTCCCAAGCATGATCTTATCTTTAAGGACATTAATCAGGAAAAATTTCCGCCATTAAGTTTAACATTTATCCCAGCAATGATGGACCTTATTAAGGTGTCTTTGGACAAACCGTCAACATCTTTGCAGATTCCCAGACGTGTGGAGAACTGCTATTGCACTCACAGCACCAATACAACATTCTTGGCTAAGCATCCTCCAGCAAACTCCATCATTGTTCAATCAGATCAATCCATAGCAGGCAACCAGTCCTCAGTTACCCCTACCAATAAAAAAGGAAGGAAACTAGACATACTAGGATATTGCTTATACTTGCTGGCCTTCTTTGTGATGAGGGTCTCCAGCTACCTGGCCGCGATGGGGGCCTACCACAGGCAACTGTGGAATAAGATCCTCCCTATCCTCCAAGCTGCTCCTGATGAGGTCAGAACTGCGGCTCTTAACACCCATCTTGAGGACACTACTCTAGCCAAGCAACAACATCTGGTGTCCCATCATACTGCTGACGCTGCTGCTAAATCTCTGGTTTCTTCTATCACCCTTAGACGGCATCCATGGCTAAGATCTTCGGGAATCACCGACGATGCTAGGGCCCGCATCGAGGACTTACTTTTCGACAGCGTAGGCCTCTTCAGCAAAAAGACCGACAAGGTAATGGAAAACTTGCAAGATGGCCCAATCTTATGCCATTCAACAACCTAGATATCAGCACAATCAACGGTGCAAGCCTTTTACATTCCATCAATCTTACCAGCATCCCTACTGCCCCTACAAACCCCTGAGAGATCCACCCCTGAGAGATCCACCCCTCAGGCCCCTGAGAGATCCACCTTTGCTCAGACATCCCCCGCTGCTCCTACTTTCCAGTCCTAGGCCCCTGCTCAGCTCAGACAAGGCTTCCGTCAACCTACAAGAAAGAACAAACAATACCTTTGACTCTATTCGATTATCCCCAACATCCCCGACTGGCACCTTTATAGACAAGTGGTCCACCATCACCAAGGACACTTGAATGCTAGCCATCATATATTTTTGTTACCTGTTGGAATTCAAGGAGCTTCCTCCTCTTGGTCATGTCAGACCCACAGCATACTCACCTACTCTAGAGGACAAGGTCACACTCCTTCCTCAAAAATGTGCTATCCAGAGGGTGCCTCCCCAAGACATCCTGAACGGTTTTTACTCACGTTACTTCATGTTTCCCAAGAAGGATGGAGGTCTTTGTCCCATCTTAGACCTGAAACTATTGAACACCTCTATTCATCCAAGGCGTTTTTGCATGGTCACCCTAGAATCAGTTATCCCTCTACTTCAGCCAGGAGACTGGTTCATGGATATAGACCTACAGGATGCTTATTTCCACATTTCAATTCACAAAAATCATTTCAAATACCTCCGCTTCCTCTTCATGTGGACACTGCATACCAATTCTGTGCCTTTTCCTTCGGCCTGTCTACCGCTCCGAGGACCTTCACAAAATGTCTGGCTCCAGTCTCTGCCTATATTCGTCTACACAACACCACATGTTCCCAAATATAGACGACTGGTTGATAGTAGCAAGATCACACAGCGCAGCCATAAAAGACACTACCTTTGTTCTACAGACATTGGTGGATCTCGGCCTTCAGGTCAAGTACAAAAAATCTCATCTGAAACCATCTCAGACCAGGAATTATATTGGAGCACATCTCGATCCTATCGTAGCCATGGTGTTTACTCTGTCCAGAAAGAATAATCAAATTAAGGTGGGCCATCCGCCCCTTTTGGCGTTGCAGCACAGTCATCGCTCACCATACACAGCACCTGCTAGGCTTGATGGTGTCAACTACATTGGTTCTTCAACGTATGAGATGAAGATGAGGTCCTTACAGGCATGGTGCCTATTCTGGTTTGACCCTCTGATACACCATCCTTCCAAGCGTCTTCTGGTGACTCCAGAGTTAGCTTGCCAACTTACCTGGTGGACCTTCATCTCTCACCTCCTGGTAGGCCGCCAATTCTGGCCTCTTCAGCTCACTGTGTGGGTCACAACAGACACCAGTCAGACAGGATGGGGTGCATACTGTGGTCATTGAAAGATCCACGCTTTATGGTCAAGCTCAGAGAGACTGCTACACCTCGATCTTTTCAAGATTTCCAATTCCTCACAGCTGGTCGCGGGGTCCAAGTCATCATGGACAATATGATCACCCTGTATTATATCAACAAGCAGGGTGGCACCCATTCTTTACATCTTCTGTGTCTAGTGATTCAGCTGTGGGAATGGTGTTACGATCACCATGTCTTTCTGGTGGCTCTTCATGTAGCTACAGAAGACAATGAGGTTTCCGACTGTCTGAGCCACCTTACAACCCAGACTCATGAGTGGACTCCCAACAACACCGTTTTCTCCCTTCTCTGCAGTTGGTGGGGGAACGCTAGGTCTCGACGTCTTCGCCACTCAAACCAACACCAAGTGCAGCAGATACTGCTCGCGAGCAGGAAGGGGAGACAACTCTCTAGGCGACGCCTTCATGGTAGATTGGGACGACGGCCTAATTTATCTTTTTCCACCCATCCCACTCATCCAGAGGACGATAGTCAGAATCCAGCAGTTGGATCAAGATGCCATTTTGATAGCAATGTGGTGGCCTCGTCAACCTTGGTTCACTACTCTCAGAATCATGGCTTTGGACTTTCTAAGACTACCCCTTCAACCGTCCCTTCTCACTCAGGACGGAGATCGCCTTTGCCATCCCGACCTCAGCTCTCTGCACCTCACAGCATGGAGAATTCTCCCAACGTGGCTGAAGTCTTGAATAGAGCTAGGAAGCCATCTCTCATTATATTCATATACATGGAACTCCTTTATCAAATTTGCTGAATCACAGAAATTGCCCACTGTTCCAGTTTCCTTGGACACCCTTCTTAAGTTCCTTCGTTACCTGTTTGACCAAGGTTTGGCCCATTCAACATTAAAGGTTTATATTTCTGCGGTAGTTTCATACCAACCTGAAGAGTCTGAAGCTTCTCATTTGTTTTCTCATCCTATGTTAAAGAGATTTCTAAGAGGGTTGCTAAACATGCATCCACCTACTTGACCTCCACTTCCTCAGTGATCTCTCCAGGTCGTTCTCCATGCACTTACTCGCCCTCCGTTTGAACCCATGGCTTCTGTGCACCTCAAATTTCTTTCTATTAAAACTTTGTTCCTTGTGGCGATAACCTCTGCATGTCGAGCAAGCGAACTGGCCACTCTTCGAGCTGATGCCCCTTATATTCCTTTTTTTCCTGACAAGGTTGTGTTATATCCAGGTGTGTCTTTCCTTCGCAAAGTTAACTCTGATTCCCATGTTAATCAACCTCTAAGTCTCCCGACGTTATTTCCTAATCCATCTTCTGGTGTTGAGTGCATGCTCCACTCCCTTGATGTTCATTGTGCCCTGGCATTCTACATTTCCAGAACCAAGGACTTCCATACTTCTCCCACACTTCTTGTGTGTTTCTATGGCCCACGAAACGGTTCTCCTGCCTCCTCACAGACAATCTCAAGGTGGATTGTCTCGGTCATTATTTTCGCTTATGAGTTGGCAGGCAAGACTCTGTCAGAGGTGCTAAAGGCACACTCCACTAGAGTGCTGGCAACGTCTACAGCTTTGTTGCGTGGCGTTGAAGTCCCTGACATCTGTCGAGCGGCCACTTGGTCTACACACTCGACTTTTGTGACACAATATCATCTTGATGTCAGGGCCAAGAAGGAAGCAAGTTTCAGAAGTGCTGTGCTGGCTCCTTTGTTGGCGTAACGGCCCTCTTTCCAGTAAGTGAGCTTGCTAGTCACCCATTTGTGTGGACTCACAGAGGCCATGAAGAAGAAAGAGAGGTTACTTACCTGTAACCATGGCTCTTCGAGTGGTCCTCTGTGAATCCACACATCCCGCCCACTCTCCCCTCTGTCTGTCACTTGTTGTCTTGAGCTTTGTAATAGTCATAGCTTTCACCACAGCATTCAGAACTGAAGTAATACGAGCACACTTGTTGTCTTGAGCTTTGTGATAGTCATAGCTTTCACCACAGCAGACATTCAGAACTGAAGTAATACGAGCGGGCAGAGCATGCGCACCACAGGGCAACATCCTACTAATCATGTCTTTTAAAGCTCTAAAATATTCCGAGATGTCCTGCGCAGGCTCAGTAAAATCAATTTGTGTGGATTTACAGAGGACCACTCAAAGAACCATGGTTACAGGTAAGTAACCTTTATGCTTGCCAGTTCCTACTCCAGATGGATCACGTTTAGTCAGAACTCTCCACTATGATCTGACTGTTTTCGGTGTCCCTGCACGGCATAGCCCATAGGTTCTCTGAATTACTCAAGCCCCTTTGCCACAACAAGGCAGCAGTCTGTGAAGGGGGAAGTTAAGCTACCAGTAAATATTTTCACAAAGAGTATTTGGAAGATCCTCATACTGCAGAATGATTATTTGGGAAGTACAGTGCAAATGGAGAAAGTAATATATCTTTAGCTTGTAGTACACCCTATGTTTTGCAGGAATTAGATGACTACCTTCTTAATCGTTGTATGAGAAACTGAAAAATCCACAATAGGATTTTTCAAAAAGTCCTTGTGAAGTGTATAATCAGTGTTTAGAAACTGTTATGATGTATACATGAGACAGGTTTTCTAATGGCTTATATATTGGATTTCAGTTCTACCAGGTGTCAAGATATAAAATATATATATTGTGTATGGGAAAAATTGTTTAAGGGCAACTGGCTCTAAAAGAGCATTTAAAAGGGTGAAGGATACTGATGAACTTTTGCAAGAAACTTGCTGTTAGAAGAGTTAGAAAAATAATTGCTATTGCAAAACTGGAATGAGTTTTGTGAAATTATTGAAAGATTTCCTGTTCTAGTGTCTAAGGGTTTATTTTTACTTGATATATCTTTCCTATAACTTTTTTAAAATTATTTGCTTGCTGTTAAATATAGGAGGCTCTCTGCATTGATTTGGGAAGTAAGATGTATTGAAAGCAATGCCCAAACTTTCAATGAACCCAATAGCACAATCGCTAATTCAGCTCGAAAAATCACGGATCACTTCTTAGAATTCATCAGGTAAGCAATAGTTCCTATTGAACAATAATAACACGTACAGTGGTACCTCACAAGACAATTACCCCTCAAAACGACGAATCCGCATGACGATGAGGTTTTGCGACCGCCATTTTGCTTTGCAAAACAGTGATTCCTATGGGGGAATTTCGCTGGACGACGATTTGGTTCGTGCTTCGCATACCGTTTTTTCGCAAGACGATTTTTACAGCTGATCGTCGACTTCGGAAATGGCTTCCCTGGGGCGATCTTTGCAAAACGGGTGTTTTTGGGCCCGTTTTTCGCAAGACAGCGATTTAAAACAGCTGATCAGCACTTCACAAAGCGGCTTCCTTATGGGTGATCTTCGCTGGATGACGACAATTTTTCCCCATTGGAACGCATTAAACGGGTTTCAGTGCATTCCAATGGGGAAATGCTTTTCACAAGATGATGTTTTCACAAGACAGTGATTTCAATGGCACGAATTAACATTGTCTTGCGGGACACCACTAGTTTTATTGCTCATTATGAAAATTTATAGTTGCTGCTTATGACTGTCAGCTGTGAAAGTAGTTGGGAATTTTAACTCACTAATTTGTAAGTTAATATCTGATAACTGAAATATTTTCTAGTGGAGAAGCCATGTTAATTTATTGCTACAAAAACAAAATTATAAGATATTTTGCAATACAGTTTTGATGACTATGTCCATGTTCAGAAACAATATATTTCCAGTATCACTTGTGGTAATTTTGGATACAGTAGAGACCATTCCATAGAAATTAATACTGTAGATTGGGAGTACTTATCATTTGCCTTCCCCTAAATCCTCCTTACTTATATTAGTGATTTGAAACATTAATAGTAATTCTTTGTTTGCTGTCCCAAAGTCTTTAAAAATATATTTGTCTCTTTCCAGTTCAACTTGGTTCTGAAAAGACATTAAAGTTGTAGTCTTAGGTTTCACCAGCAGCTGTAACTTTTTCTCTGCCCCCCAGGAATCCAGATTGTACAGATATTTTTGAGCTGTGCATTGCAACAAATAATGAAGATGGCATTGAGGCTCGTGAGCTGGTAATGACATTTGGTTCTTATACATTTGTATAATTGTAACTGTAAATTATAACTTTAAAAATGTTACAGTTGTAACCTTAAAAAATGAAGCTATCTGATCTGTTTTGTAGGATGATGAAGAGACCTACATACCAAGAACATCGTCTAAAAAAGTAAGTCAAGTTGCTTTGCTTCAAGTATAATTTTCTCCAATCTATGAGAGAATAACAGTTTTGTAATAATGGTACTCCATAAGATGTAGAGATGGGGACGAAGCACCAAAATGTCAAGTTTGACAACCCATGTCAGGTTTGACAACCCATGAACCACGAATTGCCCCCCCATGACCCGACGAACAATGAATCAGTTTGTCATTCGTCAGGTAATGTTCCCTTCTTTTGCTATTCCCTGGTGCATAGCAAGAGGAGGGAAAGCAGGGATCAAAGCAGTTGTGCAGCCACTAAGGAGGGGGAAAGGGATCAAAGCAGTCCCGCAGCAGTGACTGTGCGATTGCTTTGATCCCTGCTTTCCACCACGGGGCTTAGCAAGAAGGGGGAAAGCAGGGATCAAAGTGATCCCGCAGCAGCTGGGGGATCACTTTGATCTCTCTTTGATCCCTTTCCCTCCTCTTGCTATGCGACATGGGCATAGGAGGAGGAGGAAAGGGGAACCAAGTCATCACCTAGTCCTAGGGGTGGGATTCCCTTCGGGCAGACTTTAGCAAGCCGCCCAAAGGGAAAACCCCTCTCTGCTTATGCCTCTGAGAAACAGCTGATCCACGGGGACATAAGCAAATAGGGAATGAAGGAACAAATATAAAAGGGATATTTTCTTTGCTTCATATTCGTTGGGGTCTCTGGACCCCAAGAATACGAAGCAACGAATATCTGACGAATCAAGGATAGTTAAGGAATATCCGGATTCATTTTTATATTCATCCCCGTGTCTAGATGTAGATGGATATTAAATATGATAGTCCACTGTATATACCCTGGCAGGTTGGCATACATTTTTTATGTACCGTATTTGCCGGCGTATAAAACGACTGGGCATATAAGACGACCCCCCAACATTTCCACTCAAAATATAGAGTTTGTTATATACCTGCCGTATAAGACTACCTCCTCTTCCACACACCAAATAAAAGGTGCTATTCATTGTCACCATTGTATGGCCGCAGCGCGGCCACAGTGCCTCTGGCCCACCCCTGCATCTCCCTGTGACCGGCACTAGTGCACAAGTGTGAGCTCTGTGTAGACAAAGGGCGGGCCGGTGCATCGCTGCTTCCCGCCGAACAGAACAGGCCGGTCACGCCGAAAAGGCTGGCACCCCTGTCTCGCTGCTGATGCTCGCCACGGCTGCACTGGATACCACATGATACTGGACGGTATGTAGAATGAGGTGGGCGGGCATCGGGAGGCTCCTATGGGCACCGGGCGAGCATCGGAAGGCCACTATGGGCAGCTATGTCTATCCCAACTGAAGTGCACCCAGCGTATAAGACGACCCCCCCCCTTGGAGGCATGTTTTTCAGGGCAAAATAGTCGTCTTATACGCCGGCAAATACAGTATATTCTGTAATATGTTATATTTAGGAATATTTTACATTTGTTTTAAAGAGACAGATCATAAAAAGGAAAAGTATTGTGAAGCCAAGCACTGATGAAAATAATTGGAAGAAACAATGCATGGAACTTGTAAATTTGATTTTCCAATGTGAAGATTCAGAGCCATTTAGACAACCTGTTGACTTGGATCAGTATCCTGTAAGTTATTATTCATTGATATGACTTTTACTGACATCCACCATTTTATAGAGGAAGTAACTTGTTTCCCAACTTAAAAAGGGCCAAGTTACTTGTAATGTGTGTTCCATTTCAAGTTCAGTAATACAGAATATTGAATTCCACTTAGCTCTGTACACCCTTTTGCAGTCTGGTTTGTTCAGATATGTTGGGGTACATTATCCTTCATCCCAGCTAGCATAACTGTTGCTGCAGATGGGGAATATTGTAGTGAAACAAGAAAAATCTGGACTGTTACCACTAAAAACCTAAACAAAGGAAACAGAAGACTAAAAGGAAAATCATAATACAGTGGTGAAAGGCCATTGGAGAGGGAAAAGACCCTGCTTGCTTGAGAGGGAGTTAGGAGAGCCTGAGTCCTGCCAGTCAGAACACCCTCTCTGTTGTCCCAAGTAGATATATTTCTGGAGACATTGGAATTACCAAAAAACAAACAACCTTCATTGAAGATTTCCGTAGGCAAGCAGTATTCTGCAGGTAAAACCAATGATGAGATTGTACTCGGATTTGATTAGTTCCTAATGCATAGAACTTCCAAATTTGTCTGAAACCCACATGCTTGAAAGCATAATGAATGTGAAGTACTGTTTTGCCTTCTGAATTTTCAGAAATGTAGCTGTGGCGATTCCCCCCACTAATGAGAAAATTCAGTTTTAAGTTTGTTTTTAAAGTAAATCTGAGTGCCTGCGTGTCATAAAAGCATTGATGCCTATTTATGTATTTCACCAAGGATTGGAAGAATAAACATGAAGGAAAATGTCATGCTGGAATTTGAAGATCATAGGTGTTTTGAAAAGTTCTCCAGAAGTGGCAAAATGGTGTCTCTATGCAGAACTTTCCTTCAGTCTGTTAACATTTTTCAAATATTATTTTCTGTAGCGGAAAATGAATTGTTAATTTTAGAATCAGACCTTAAAGCTCTACATTTGGACTTGAACAGTATATGTTTACTTATTTTTTTCCTGGAAAATTGAAATTACCTTAGAGTGTTTCTCATAAAATGCTCTTCACTTTCCCCTTGCTTTCATTCATAGGCATGTATGTTTTTATGGGATCTCCCCAACTGCTTAAATAATGAAGTCATTTGGGTTTCTGTAGGATTACCGGGAAATTATAGACACACCAATGGATTTGGGAACTGTAAAAGAAACACTAGAAGCTGGAAACTATGATTCACCAATGGAGCTGTGCAAAGATATCAGATTAATATTTAGCAATGCTAAAGCATACACCCCAAACAAAAGATCCAAGGTAATATGTCTATAATGTCTAGCATGCCAGTCAGTTCAGCTTCTGTTGCAGTTTCAGAGCAGTTGAAGCAGGGAGGTTGGATCTTATGTTTTGTGGAACTGTAAATCCTATAATCATCCTTTCTAGGAGTTCCTGCTGGCAGACTCACACCTAAATGGGGCTCCTAGCTGAGAAGGGTTCATTGCCTAACAAAGGTCAAACTCAACCCTAGCTTCCTGTTCAGAACGGAAGCTGCCCCACAGCTAGCTAGGAGTTTCCTTTTTGAACAGGAAGTTAGAACAAAACTATGCCTATGTAAGATCACAAATCCTTCTCAATCTGGTCTTTTCTTCAGGTGAACTACATTTAGGTTTTGTGGGCATGAGTCTGTCAGGTAGAACTCCAAGAATGTGGCTTGGACATGTAGTCCAAAATATCTGAAAATTCCATGCCTGGAGGGAGGAGAATAGAAACCCACTGTCTAAAGATACGTTGATTGTGTGCTATAATTATAAAGCTTGGTTTTAAATTATAAAATACTAACTTAAATAGAGGAACTAGGTAGGTTTCCACTCACAGTTACTTTAAAACAAACAAAATCAATAATGTTATTAATTGCAGAAACATGTATCTGGAGTATCAGATCTTCCATGGTGTTCGTAATAACTTGCAAAATTATAGGGGACTTGTGTTTCCAAATGTACTATCATATATATTTTTTATCTCAGTTAAACTTTGACTGCTTTCATTGATGAAACTGGAGGAAGACCTAAATTTATTAGGTTGTTGTAACAGGTATCTTAAGTACATGGCTTTGTTCAGGAAATCTTATCCAAATAAGCCAAAGTAGATAGATAATAGAAGTTGAAAAGGCCATCCATATCATACCAGTTTTCGTATAGTGGAAAAGGACATCCTACAGATGGGGTTGCCTAGCAGGAGCCACTAACCTAATGTGTCTCCCTTTATCAGGAGTAGACATTCTTTGCTTTGTCAGCAGAGGCCAAGGAATGAGAGAATGACTGAGATCTGTCAAGGGGCTCATCTTCCCCAGCAGAAATTATTTCTCATCATTTCAGACTGGCCCAGGGATACAACTGAGTAGGAACAGGACCTATTCCAATTCTCCAAGGAGACCTTCCATGAGACCAGAGTGTCTTCTTTATTTATGCAATACACTCCATCCACTCAGGCGTTGAATGGGTGCAAGACTGCAACAGCCATAAAGGGGATGAGTGGCAGGATCATCAGATGAGGGCCACCTGCCCCTCCCATTATAGATGTACATTCCCTCCATCTAGAATTTGTTAACTGGATCAAGCTGCTTATAGCTAAAGAATCATAGGAACTAGTGATAGGGTTAAGGTAAAAAAAGTTAAAAGGTTCCCCTTGACAATTTGTCCAGTCGTGTCTGACACTAGGCGGCGGTGCTCATCTCCATTTCCACCCCATAGAGCTAGTGTTTGTCCGCAGACAATCCTCCGTGGTCACGTGGCCAGCACGACTAGACACGGAACGCCGTTTACCTTCCCACCATGGTGTTATCTATTTATCTACTTGCATTTTTGCATTTTGCATGCTTTTGAACCGCTAGGTTGGCAGGAGCTGGGACAAGCGACGGGGGCTCACTCTATCGCGTGGATTTGATCTTACGACTGCAGGTCATCTGACCTTGAAGCACAGGCTTCAGCAGTTTAACCCGCACCACCACCACATTCCTGCTAAGGTTAGGAGGTTAGTGATAGGGTTAGGAGACCACAAATTGCAAAACACACACACCCTCTGCCAGCCAGGAAGTACTCTTCCTCCCCCAGCTCCCGCAACATTTTAGTGGGCACACAAGTGGTTTCTCTCCTCCCTCTTCAAAACTGAAAGGCTAGCCACACTGTTTCAGTGAAGTATCAGAGGCTTTGATGCATTGAATGAGAGACCCTATCATGTTTTGAATAAAAAATAAAGCATTTAATAAACAGATTTTGTTGATAAGTTAAAGAACAATTGCTTATTGACTCTGGAGTTCTGCAAAATCTTCAGAAGCATGTTTCTATTGCAAAAACAGTTGTTTCAGTGACAGTAAATGGGTTTGAAACAACCTTTTGAATCCAACAAATTTGGTGGAATATACTTTGATTAAAATATTGTGGGAAAGAATGCTGGATGTTCTGTTGCAACCCTCACTAATCATTTGCTGCTTGTATTTTTATTTTATTTATTTAAAATATTTTACCCTGCCTTTTCTCTTAAGAAAGACCCAAGGCGGTTCACAACATTTAAAGACAATATTTTAAGCTAAAAATAGTAGTAGTAGAAAAAATATTTTAAATTAGGTTCTTTCATACTTAATCAACATAAATGTCAGTTACAAGTACAACTAAGGAGAGAAATGCCAAAAAAGCATCAACGACTAACAAATCATGCCATCAAAACAATTAACAGTGTATTTCACTAGGGTTTAGCATAGGTTTGCCTGCATGTGATTTCAGCCTGAATAAAAGTTTTCATTGAAAGGTATAGATTTGTCTTTAAACTACATGGGGCCATGTTATTCTATCTTTGAACAGTAAGTATTCATTTGGTTAAATTGATTAAATTCTTAATATGATTCCCTCCCCCCCCCATCTAGATATATAGTATGACTCTGAGGTTATCAGCGCTGTTTGAAGAAAAGATGAGAAGGCTCCTCTCTGATTTTAGAACTGGACAAAAATATAACAAAAGATTGCGGAGAAATAAAAGAGGTTCAAAGTACAATCGGAAACTGCAAAACTCTGCACAGCACTCTACCAAAACCCTCAGGTAAATTTTTCTGGCCTGGATTCTGTAGAATCATTTGACTGACAGAGGCAGTTTTGTGAAAGAAAATTGGGGGAAATGATTCACCCTACCTGCTCTCTTAAGATCTCTACTGGAGAACTTAGAAGCCCCCATGAGATTGTTGAATAGCTCAAGGAGATAAAGGAAGATAGAAGGAACACGTTCTGTAGCTGAAGCTGGTATGTATTAGTACAGTGTTGATTCTTCTTCATGGCCTCTGTAAATTCACACAAATGGGTTTAGACTGCACATGCACAGGACTCCTTGGAATATTGTAGAGCTTAAAAACATGTGATTAGTAGGACGTTCCCCCATGGCGCACATGCTCTGCCCACCTGTAATACCTCCGTTCATTTTAGCTGCCGCTGACTTTGGACTTCTTTAGCGACAATTAGAGGTACAGTATTCCTATCCTAATCATTTGGTTTTTTTGATCACAGACTTTTTTGTTTATGATTTCGGATCACGTTTCAACTTTTCCCTCCCTTTTTTTCAAATGGCCTCTTCGAGTCTATTCAAGAGGTGTGCGTCATGTGCCAATAAGATAACTTTCACCAACGGCCATGATAGCTGTTTATTTTGTCTAGGAGAAGGACATCAGATTCACTCCTGTACAGAATACAAAAAATTAGCTAAACCGGCTCTTAAGCTTTGTTTGCAAATACTTCGGTCATATCCCTGGGAAAAATTCCTCAGACCCTCCAGCCGACCCACTAGCCCTGCGATGGAGCCTTCCGGTACTCCCGTTCCTCCGTCTGAGCCTTCTGTTCCATCGGCTCTGACAACTCCCTCCCTGAAGACCTCGTCGAAAGTACCAAGGCCAAAAACTTCTTCGACATCGACCTCGGAGTCAAAGGTGCCTTCGGTCCCAAAGGACCACTCTCCTAAGAAGAAAGATGGGAGTAAGCAAAAGAAGATTAAATGGGCGTCCAAGTCTGCTCAGCCCCGTGAACGTCCTCTGTTCACATCTCCCTTCCTTCCCCGAACCTGGAAGAGTTATCAAGGGATATCCCGGATCCTGATTTCCTTTCAGAGGCTGAAGAATTGGGACCACCCCCTCAGGCTCAAGCTTTGGTGTCAGTACCGAGCTTGTCCCCATCTCAAGGCCATTCTGAGGCTGATGTCATCTCCAGCCCGGCCTCGGCCCATTCTAGCCCTATTTCAATCTGGCGGGCAACTGTAATCTAATTGTTCAACTCTGAGGCATCAGCCCCTTAGTCACCTCCATGGAAGCGATCAGCAAAGCGTCGTCATATCTCTCCCAGCTCGGCAATATTCCCAGTATAGAGGGGTGATTCTTGTTCCCCATCCATCTCGACGCCATGTGGTGTCAGACTATGGTGAACCCATCTATGCTGAGTTGGATCAACATTCTGAGTGGTATTGATACCGTGTGGATGAGATCGATCCTCATTACATTGAGGATTATTACAGACGACCTAAGCATGTTCACTGCGCTTATGCCTCTCCTGACTCTTGCCAATCACCCTTGCCGCCTCCTCCTTGGTGTCAACATCAAACGCATCTTCAGGTCAATCCCGTACTCCCAATATCAAGGAAGTCTGCTTCCAAGTGTGGCTTGCCTCAGTCGTAGGCCCTTCTGGAAGCAATGACATTGAAACGGTCAACATGGCCTTGGTACCAGCGGCCTCAGTACCACCCTCGAGTGTTACCATCTCTAGATCCTGTTCACTTTGTTATGGTTCTACCTCGGTCTCAACTCCTCAGGTCTCGATTTCTACATCTCAAGCTCGTTGTCGTTCTCCCTCACCTCCTCTCCCCATCTCTAGAGGTTCTTCGGTTTCTATTCTTTCTGAACACAGTCCTCCTCCTGAAGTTTCCAGGGAGTCTCCTTCTAACTTACCAACCCCGGATTCGGATGTTGCAGATGTTCATCCTCCGTCTCCATCTGAAGACTTTACTTCTTATTCCCAACTCATACTTCAGATGGCCAAATCATTGGAGTTTGATATCCAGCAACCTCCTCCTCTTATACAGGACCTTGTCTTCAATGACATAAATCAGAAAAAATCCCCTCCGTTGAGTCTAGCATTCATACCAGCCATGCTGGACCTTATTAAAGAATCATGGGACAAGCCATCTACATCTCTCTAAATTTCCAGACGGGTCGAGAACCACTACTGAACACATGGAGCCGACACAGCTTTCCTTGTCAAGCATCCGTCCCCGAACTCTATTATTGTAAAGTCTAATCAATCTCGCGCCAGCAACCAGTCAGCTGTCGACCCCACCAACCGAGAAGATAGGAAGTTGGATGTTCTGGGTCGTCGTTTATATTCTTTGGCTTCCTTTGTGATGAGAGCTTCGAACTATCAAGCGGCAATGGGCACTTATCACAGACAGTTATGGAACAAAATCCTTCCAGTCTTTCAGTCTGCTCCCGAGGAAACCAGGGCCAGCGCCCTTAATACTCACCTGGAAGCTGCTACTCTGGCCAAACAGCAGCACCTTGCATCCCGTCACATGGCGGATGCTGCCTCAAAGGCTTTGGCTTCTGCCATTGCCCTCAGAAGACTTGCTTTGCTGCGTTCAGCGGGCATCAATGATGATGCTAGATCCCATATTGAGGATCTTCCTTTTGACGGAGTTGGTCTTTTTAATGAAAAGACAGACAAGGTGATGGACAATTTAAACAACATTTGTAAGACTGCCAGCTCCTACTCCACCCAGCAGCCCAGATACCAATACAGCCAGTGGTGTAGACCCTTCACTTTTCAGCAATCATATCAACAGCCCTATCGTTCTTACAAAGCTTTCACTCCAGCCCCAGAGAGATCCAATCCTAAGTCTTCTGCTGCTCCTCCTTCCTTCCGTTCCCAGGCTACGGCTCAGCAGCGCAGGCAACCTTTCCATCATCCTGCAAGAAAAAGCAAGCAATACTTTTGACTCTCCTCGTCTGCACCTGTTTTCCCCCTGCCCCCATCATCCATGGCTAGCCCCCTTTTTCAGCAAGTGGTCCTCCATCACTACAGACATGGGCGCTCACCATCATACATTGTGGTTACCTGTTAGAGTTCACGGACCTTCCTCCTATCAGTCATCTTAGACCCACTGCTTACTCACCTGCCCTAGAAGACGATATCTTTCTTCTCCAAAATCACACTATTTTCAGAGTTCGTCCCCAAGATGTTCTGAACGGATTTTACTCCTGTTATTTCACAGTTCCCAAAAAGGATGGAGGCCTCCTTCCCATCTTGGACCTGTGACTTCTGAACACCTATATTCATCCAAGGCGTTTTTGCATGGTCACCCTCGAATCCATTATCTCACTTTTTTCACCAGGCAACTGGTTTATCGTTGTAGATCTACAGGACACATATTTTCATATTTTGATCAATGAGCACCACTTCAGAGATCTCTAGTTTCTTTTCATGGGTACGGCCCACTAATTTTACACCCTTCCCTTCAGTCTGTCCACTGCTCCAAGAACTTTCACAAAGTGTCTGGCCCCTGTAGCTGCCTATCTTCGATTTCACAACATTACGGTATTTCCATACATAAACAATTGGTTGATAGTAGCAGGATCATACGCTGCAGCCAAAAAGGATTCTACCTTTGTGCTGCAGATTCTGGCAGACCTCAGCCTGCAGGTCAATTTTAAAAAGTCCCATCTCAAACCATCGCAGATCACGGATTACATCGAAGCACATCTCAATTCGATTACGGCCAGAGTCTTTCCCCCTTCCAAAAGGATAGTCACGTTAAGGCGAGCCATTCGCCCTTTTCACCCTTACATCGCAGTCAATGCTCACCATATGGAGCACCTACTAAATCTAATGACTTCAACCATGTCTGTGCTCCAGCACACAATATTCAAAATGCGATCATTACAGGCTTCATATCTGTCCCAGTAGAACCCTCTCTTAGATCATCTTTCCAAATGTCTGCTGGTTACCCCAGAGTTCTCGTCAACTTACCTGGTGGACCTTTATCCCTCATCTCTTGGTGGGCTGCCCTTTCAGGCCCCTTCAGTTGACTGTACAGGTCACAACAGATGCCAGCCCAATAGGATGGGGTGTGCACTGTGGTCATCACAAGATTCACACCTTGTGGTCTAGCTCGGAGAGCTTGCTGCATATCAACCACTTGGAGATGCTAGCAGTCATCAAGTCCTTCAGAGCCTTCCATTTTCTCATCGCAGGTTGTGGCATCTAGGTTGCCACAGACAATATGACCACCCTGTATTATATCAACAGACAGGGTGGCACCCATTCGATGAAGCTTCTATATTTAGCAATTTAGCTGTGGGAATGGTGTTACAATCACCATGTTTTTCCTGTAGCGATTCACATGTCGACAGAGGACAACACAGTGATCGATTGTCTGAGCTATCTCACCACCCAAACTCACGAGTGGGCCCTCGATGACTCCGTTTTCTCCAGTCTCGGCAGTCGGTGGGGAACACCAGTTCTCAACATCTTTGCCACTCAGTTCAACTCAAAAGTGCAGCAAGTACTGCTCTCAGGCAGGAAGAGGTGAGAACTCTAGGCGACTTGTATTGAGGTCCCTGACATCTGTCGAGCGGCTACTTGGTCTATACCCTTGACTTTTATGACAGATTACCTTCTAGATGTCAGGGCTAAGAAGGAAGCAAGTTTCAGCAGGGCTGTGCTGACTTCATTTTTAGTGTGACAGCCCTCCTTCCGGTAGGTTAGCTTGCTAGTCCCCATTTGTGTGGATTCACAGAGGCCACGAAGAAGAAAGAGAGGTTATGGTTGCTGTGGGTTTTTCGGGTTCTTTGGCCGTGTTCTGAAGGTTGTTCTTCCTAACGTTTCACCATTCTTTGTGGCCGGCATCTTCAGAGGACAGGAGTAGCACGCTGTGCTCTGGTCAAGAGAGGTTACTTACCTGTAACTGTTGTTCTTAAACAGTGTATGCTGCTTCTTTGCAACATCTGTGCACAATATAGATTTGTGCCTCACATCAGATGAAGAGGTGCTGTCTAACTAAAGGAACATTGTTTCAAGCTATGATTTTAAAGTTGCTGGCACTGCTACCAGTAATTGTAGCTCACTGACCTGTGTACCTGGCTGCAGATGCACAGGTCTGGAGTCTGATTCCCTTGTATGCCTTCTGGGAGGCGAGCCAGACTGTGTAGCACTGGGCAAGTTTTGCAGTTCTAGAGTGGCCCCAGAAGAAGGAAACAGTAAAGCACTTCTGAGTACTCTATACATAGAAAACCCTGGAAAGGGTCACTTTAAGTTAGAATTGATTTGAAGGCACACAATTATGAGTATTAATTGTTACCAGAAATTACTATATCACTCTTTTAGTTAATATTTAATTCTATTAGATCTTAATATTCACTTAATTGGTGCAATTAAATATTAACTTTTAATACTGATACAGTTTGCAGTACTTTATAAAGCTAGAAATACTCATTTGAAAAGTGTACAAATGCTACATAATAAATCCATATTCACATAGTGCATATTATTTTCATTCTTTTCGTCAAGAAATACAAAGCAGAAGCAATGCAAATCTCAGGCATCAATTCAATCTGAGCCAGAAGATTCTTCTAATCAAAATACCTCACGAAGAAAGCTCCATTTTACAAGCCATAAAATATACACAAGCAGCTCTAGTCGTGGTATTGCTGATGTGTTGTCTGACTCTGCATCATCTTTTGGAAAGAAAGTGCGAACAAGAAGCACAAGTGTAGCGCGCAGTTCCACATTGTTATCAGGTAAGTACTCTGGGGTGGAAACCCAAAAGGACAGTTCATTTTTCGGTTTCTGTGTGGGATTGTATCAGATTTGACTTTCTTCTCTGTTTTTTATGTTGTTCCAACGCAAACGAAAGAAATGAACATGTGAGTTCCAAAACATTTGCAACTGCAGCAGTTTTCTGAGAGAAGGGTTTCATTTTCTGACAGAATTGCAAGGGTGCCGATATTTTTGGCCATGACTGTAGGTTTGGCATCCTCCCTACCCACTATTGGAACTTTGGCAAAGGTGGAGCACCAGCTGCATCTCCTTCTGCAGCTTCACACAGGAATTTTACAAGGATAGATCTCAATGGAAGGCAGAGCATTCTCTCTGCCCTCACGATTATCATTGGATTGCAGTTTTAGGACCGCTGAACATGTTAAAGCAATCAAGTGATTTTGGTTTTTTGCCACCTTCCAATATTGAAAAAAAATGTTAACAATCCACATCAGTGTTGCAACCACTCTGTCTTTCTTTAAAATATCAGTGGTTTGCAGGAAGCTAAGTGACCAGTTTAGGTTTGGCATCCTCCCTACGCAAGATGAGGTTAATGCGTTCCGCAAAAATCGCTGTCAAGCGATTTTGTCGTTAAGCGAAACACGGTTTTCCATTGAAATGCATTGAAACCCTGATAATCCGTTCCAATGGGAACGGATTGCCATCGTAAAGCGAAAATTGCCATAGGAAACATTGTTAAGCGAAACACGTTTCCCAAGCGAACACAGCTGTCTAACGAAACAGCGACCATTCAAACGCCCATTTAGCAACGCGAACCCGAACTGTCAAAACCATCGTAAAGCAAAACTCAGGGACCCGAAAATTAACCGTCTTGCGAGGCAAGGTCCCCACCATCGTAGAGCGAAAATCGCCCATAGGAAACTGTTAAACGGAGCGCAAGATCGCTCCGGAAAACTAATCGTTAAGCGAATTCTTCATTAAACGAAGCAATTGTCTAGCGAGGCACCACTGTACCAAACAATGCATCTATAATTGCCTTTTAAAAACAAAATAGTGAACACATAATACACATTTGCTGTGATTTTTAACATGCACACCAGTATCTTGTTTAAACATTTGGAATGTAGGGGAACCACATCCACAGTGCTCTGCACTTTTCTCAGCGATCTCTGGCTTGCAGTTACCCAAGCCAGAAATCACCTTATTGAAAAGAACTGAATCCATACCATGTTTCATTCATAGTTTTTCTCAGACTCCTCAACTTTGATTTATGAGTTTCATCTCCACAATTTGTGGCCTTTAAGGCTTTATTTTAAAATAAAGTTCAGTGTGGGTGGAGGATCACTCAGAAATACATATAGCCTTTTTGTTTAATAGATGGCTATGGGTGAGATTGTTAATACTGTATCTCTTTTAAACTGTATCTTCAAAGCAGACAGCTAAAACTCCAGCATCTGTCCCATCATTTTGAAAGGTTTTCAGGGGAAAGCACCTGACGAGCCTCACATGGTTGACAAAGGGGGGCATAAACTGGAATCCATTAGCCAAAAACTATATTCTGTCACAATCCTGTGCTTTAGAAAAGCCAACTACTAAGCTTGCATATAAGCATATTGGCAGTTCCTCTGGGAACACCATAGCCCATCAGTTTAGCCAGTTGTGAAGCCAAAGCACTTGCTACCACTGTCATACTCTGCAGATACATTTGGCTATGGTCATCAGGCTTCAGATTTGTTATTGGTCTTTTATCTTTTGATAAGTTTGGGTCCTTCAGTGCCAACACAGACAACAAACATGGTTACAATCAGAAAATGAGGGCAGCACTGAAAGGACTCAGATCACTGCCACTCCAACCTTCCTCCAAGCAACATATTGATGCTTGATATCAGAGCAATCCACCCACTCATTTTACCACAAGGCATCCTGGGCGTGTTTATTTGTTTGTTTGTTAATTCTAATCAGAAAATATTCCCCTGTGAATATTTATTGTAAAATTATCTTACTTTTCCAGAAAGTGAACTGGAACACTCAACAACTGCCTCATCATCTAGTAGTTCAGAAGAAAGTAAAGAAAGTTCTGCTGCTCCTTCATCTCCTGTATTATATAATGGAATATCTGGAGGGAAACGAAGCACCTACAGAGTCACTAGAAATAGAGTGTATCAGCAACAGCAAATGGGTGAGAATGTTGATCACAATCATAGCTGTCTCTTCTTTTACTTTGTATTTGTGTATTAATTTTGGAATCTGTGCCATATTTAATGGGTCCATGCAAGATTCTGAAGTCAACTTTAAGTCAACAAATGTATTTAATTTCTTTATTTAAACAATTTTTAGCCTGCTTTTCTCTTTAAAAAGGATCCAAAGTGGTTTAAGTCATTAAAAGACAATATTTGAAGCTAAAATCAGTAAGTATACAAATACTAAAAAAGATCAAACACACTACAGTACATTAAAAACAGCAAACAAAAGCCATACTAAAACACATTCAAGGTAGTAAATACAGCCATCCATTCAAAAATCACACTCAGGCAGCCAGTCACTAAGGAAAAGCTTACATGAAGAGAAAGGTCTTTTCTTGTGGAAGGACAGCAAAAAGCAACAGAGAAGGCCCTCTCCCATGTCCCCACCAAATACACCGGTTAAGGTGGTGGAACAGACACAAGACCTCTCCTGAAGAAAACTAAAAGGCATACAAAACTAACAGGGAAACATTATTTCTAAAACCACCAACATGGTTCCCTAAAATGTTAAAAGTACAGATGGAGTCACAAAGAGCTGGACATGACTTAACAACTAAAGATAGTGTGGGCTTCCGTCTCCCTCCCCTCAAGGTACCTGGTCCACTTACCAGGCTCTGCATGCTGCTGGGGCCTTTCTTCATCAGTGGCACTCCAATCCACACAGGAGCTCAGACAGCCTTTCTCCGCCTTCCCAGGCAAACAGCCACTAATCCGCTGTGCAGGGAGGCTCCCCATCCCGCCTCCTCGTCCGATTGGTTGGCTGCCTGAGGAGGCAGGGAAAGGCTGGCTGGTGGGCTCCTGCTTGGATTGGAATGCCACTGCCAAAGAAGGAGCCCAACAACATGCAAAGCCCGGTAAGTGGACCAGGCAGCCTGGAGAAGGGAGATGAAATTCAGCACCACCTGTGGTGCCGTGCTTCACAAGAAACACGAAGCTCCTATCTCTAGTTAAAAGCAATACACACAGCAAGTAATGTGCACACCACAGTACAGAATAATATAATCCAGTCACCATTTTGAAACTTCTCTGAAATGTTAAGTATCAGCCGTGCTGTAAATAACTACTACACAACTAATTATCTGTTGTACACTTCTTTATTTTGTATATTTTAGTCATATATGAGCTGGTCACTTGGCCGTAATAAATAACAATAATAATCATTCTAAACATTAAAATAGGCATGTTAGATCTCCTTGGGAGTGAGCTTAGGGCTGCTGCTTGAACTCAGCATTCTGACTTCCAGTTCGGGCTATTTAGAAGAGGGCTCCACTAGATGAATTGGAAACACAGGATGGGTCATATAGCAAGAGTTCCTATTCTAACTCCATCCTAGATGGCTTTGGAACCCTAAATGTCATTGCTGCCCTTTGGAATTACACCTGATAACTCTTTCAACAAGATGTAGTTTTGGAATCTTCATTATGAGTCTTGAAATATTAAATCAAGAACATACTCAACTAAAATGCAGTTGTGCCAAGTTTCTTTCAAATGTATTCACAAAGGCTTTCACGGCTGGGATCTAATGGTTGTTGTGGGTTTTTTCGGCTCTTTGGCCGTGTTCTGAAGGTTGTTCTTCCTATGTTTCGCCAGTCTCTGTGGCCTCTGTCCTCTGAAGATGCCAGCCACAGAGACTGGCAAAACGTTAGGAAGAACAACCTTCAGAACACGGCCAAAGAGCCCAAAAAACCCACAACAACCATTTCTTTCAAATGTCTGTATTTCTATAATGTTGCACACAATGGCTAAATTAACTATTGAAATTGTTTTCTAAAAATGATTGGGACCTAAGTAGCAGAGTTGACCTAAACTTTTGGATGACTGTTGCATTTAGACATAAGTAAAATATTTATATTGTTGAAAATGTCCCAAGTTAGTAAATGTCTGTGTTTTTATGTGCAGCTTCTCAAGAGAATGAAAATAGCCAGAGGACTGCCAGGAAAAGAGTATGTGTGAGGGAAACTTATAACTCAGAAGAACCTTATGAAACTTTGAGTAGCAGATATGGAAGGCAAAGAAAAATTCCACGTAGAAGTGCTGCTGTGGCAGCAAATAAATTAAGATTGATGAGTGATGTAAAAGAGGAGGTATCTAGCTCAGAAAGTGTTGGCATTGGAAACAAACACAGAAAACTTCCTCATCGCAGTGCTTCGGCTGCTGCAAGAAAAGTGTTGTTACATAACTCTGAAGAAGAAAGTTCCATGCAGTCTGAGTCCGACAAAGAAGCAGAACAGTCTAACACAAGAAAAAGTTTGGATAATGCTGCTTCTCCTCTTCAAAAAAGACATGTTAGTGAATCTGAAAGTGGAAGCTCAAATTCTGAGGAAGGAATGCAAAAACCACTAAAAAGTTGTCATTTTAATGGCCATAAGCGGTCACAGAAGGCAGCCCACTGTGTATCTTCCCAAACAAAGCCCAATGATGATCCACAAAGCTGTGTGTCAGGTGATAGGAGCATTAAAAAAACTTATCCATTGTCTTCTGCACGCAATGACAGGAGCAACTCTGAGGCAGATTCTGAGCCAGAGAGATACAATGATTTGTCACAACAGACTTGTAAAAGAACATCCACTCAGTTCAGGAAAGCTAAAGTTTTGAGTGATTCAGAGGAAGATGTGGAATCGGGGGAAGAAAATAAAAGTGCTACATTTTCAAAGAATAGAGGCTTTTCTAAAAGTTTAAGACAGCCTAAAGGTGGTCCAAGTTCATCTAATTTGGACTGTAAAACTGACAGCGGTCATTCAAGAAAAACAAGGAAAAGGGAAGCCATCAGAAGAGGTAATGTGCCAGTTGTTCAAATACAACAATATGATTTTATGTGCATTCCAGTTTCAGAATATTTTTTTTCTTTGCACAAAAATACTTTCTTAGCATGAAATTCAAATTGTCCTATGATTTCTTATGTTGAATTAACTGTGTATACGGCCAAAGATGTGTTCATCAGTCATGGCATATATACAGCTTGACTGCTTAGGATAACAACTCTTATTAATTTAACTGAGGGTTACAGCTATGGTTAATTACAAAAGTATTCTGAATTGTGTTTGTTACCTTAAAAAAGAAGATGATTAAGAATTGTATTCATTTAAGGTGAGACAATCAAGCTTATAACTAGCATATTAAAATCTGAAGTATCAAGTGGAAGTTGTATAGGAGATTATAAAAACTTCAAAATAAATTATATAATATATTCACTTAGAGAAGTCAGAATGTTGTTATAGCCCTTGTTAGCTCTTGCACACTAAAAAAAAACTGGTGTAGGGTTAATGTGAGAGCATCAGGAAATGCTTGGGTGACAGGGTCAGTTTTTAGGTTTACCAGCTACCTGAAGGCCCTGTCTCCAAAGAGGCATTACCTAATGGGATGTAGCTTGGTAAAGAATCGGGGAAAATAGATACTAAAAGTTAGCTAAAATATGGTAAATATAGATACAAGTATATATAATAGTTACTGAACTAAAAATAATATTTTAAAGTACTAATACATTCCACCACAGCCTACGCAGGTACAGTACTTTAAAGTATTACTTTTAATTCACTAAAGATTATTAAAATAAAATTAAGAGGCTGTTTGAAATAACACCTGTAGAATAAATTAGACTCAAACTCATTTAATTCATAAACTTTAAACTCACTTCTAGTTACAGTACTGTGCTAAGCACAAAGAATCTCAGCCAGAGAAGCAGTAGCAGTGACTATAGCCAATAGGCTGCAAGTCTGTTGTACATGGAAAATTTGTAGAGTTCTCCATAGAGACATGCAAAATTTGCCGAGGAAGGGAGTGCCTGGAAGACTTCAGAGAGCAGAGTGCAAAAGTTTCAAAGTAATGAAGAGGTTTGGCTGCAGATAAAAAAGTGGAGAATCTAGTAGCAAAAGCTTTCCTTTACAGCTCATTCAGCAGTTTCACTGTCTGTTTTTGGTAATGTGTTTCATGCAGAGGGTTTTAAATTGATTTTTTTCTCTAGGGTGTGGAGAGTTGCAAAAAAGGCTTTGAGGGTTACAAATAGCTCATATGCTGCATTTTGCCCAGCTTATATTACGTAGAAGCAAGTGGCTTTTTGGAGGAATGTCTTTTTTGTTACTTCAAATATGTCTGCATACTCTAGTTTTGTTCAACTTTATTTAACTATTGACTGCTATCTTTGCAATAGCCACTATTCTCTTGCGGCTCTTCATTGGCACTGTGGGAGTGATGTTATCACTACCATCAATTTATTCCTAATTTAGTTTAGTTTAGGGATTCTTTTTGTTTTAGGGTGCACATGACGTGTATGCTGGGAGACTAAGTTCTGCGCACATCAGAATAAAAAATGAATTCTTTAATCAGCAGCAATTTCAATACTGGCTAGTGTCTGTAAATATGCATGTTTCAATAGAAAGCTTTTCGTAGTAAATACTTTATTATTAAATATTTTATGCTATGCTATACATTCTGAGACACCTATGTGTTGTAAAGACTTTATTCATGACTTTACAGAATGCGTTATCCAAGAAAACGGACTTGGAAGATCTTCCAGAAAAAGACCACATAAAAGTGATTCAGAAGATGAAGCTGTAGTTCACACGATCCAAAATAGTGACCATCAGGGTTGCCGAAGATTGCCACGGAGCTGCACTTCTGTGTTAGTTAATAAATTGAGGCTCATAAATGATGTGAAAGACCTCTCCCATTCAGAAGCCAGGGGCTGTGTAAACAAGAATGGAAAATTGAACTGTTATGTTACTGCTTCCACCACCAGAAAGAATTCAGAAGGTTCAGAGGGTGGGAGTCAGCTACTATCTAATGAAGAAAACAGGCAATATAGCAGAAGAAAGTGCACACGTTCTGGTTCCACTGTAGTTTCTGCTAGGATATATGAGAGTGACTCTGAAAGTAGCTCAGATTTTGAAAGTGTGTCAAGAAATAATAGGCATATTGAATCACATCGGCACAAGTTTAGACCTCCCTGTGATGAATCACCTAATGTACAATGTAGAATGGAACTTAGAAAGAGAACTTCAAGCAACCGTGTGTCAAAGGATAGAAGATTTGGTAAAGTTTCAGTGTATGTAGATAATGCAATAGCCAGTTCAGAATCTGAAGCAGATTATGAGTTAGACAAATGCAGTAGTGAAATTGGGAAGCAATACAGCTATTGGAAGACTGCAACTTCTTCCGGTAAATCAAAAGCCAAAAACCACATTAAAGCAACAGCAGAATCTGATGTAGAACCTAGACAGGATGGAATAGGTTCTCTGGCAGATGAGGAGAAAGGCTCTAGAAGGCTACGATCTAAACGCATAGCAGATTCCAGTTGTTCTTCTGATTTGGAAGATGAATCAAATTCCAATAGTAATGATGATAGTGACACCCGAATGCAACACACAAAAAAGAAAGGAAAAACAGAAATCACTAAGAAAGGTAATATTCCTAGTGTTATTCAATCTAGTTTTGCTTAGAAAATGGGTGAGCTATTTCAGAGGGCCCAAAGACTGCTTTTCAGATTTGCTATGAGCCCTTGGGCCATATTCCTGTGGGGCAGGGCTAACAGTACTAATTTGCACATTTGTGTTTTTAATTGCATGTTAAAATATTTTTGTGCTGCAGTAGGAATGCTACACTGCAGACTGTGGCAGTAGTTTTTTTGTCAGTTGAAATTGTTTTAATTAAACAAAGAGTGTTAAAAGTGAAGAGACCATATTTGTACCTATTAGTAATGTAAATATTATGCTAGATTTTTTTAAAAAAAAAATTAGGATATGGAATACAAGGATGTCTGTCAGAGACCCATCAAAATGTGGTAAAGTTGGTTTGCTGGGGGCACAAGGAAACTTTCTCAGCCGCCTAGAGTGGTTGTAACTGACCAGATAGGCAGGATATAAAATAAATGAATGAATAAACAAACAAACAAAAAAAAACCGCTCTGAAAAATTGTGTGGATGTGTAGAGGTAGCTGGGATTGCCCCAGGAGGTATTGGAAAGTTATAAAAAATGGTTGGACCTTGGCTTGTCACTTCTCTTAAAAACAAACCAACCAACCAGGAAAATAGTCCTTGCTTCAGATCCTGACTTCAGACTCTGGTTTGTTGGGCAGGGACAAACTGAGTGTTTGGTTTTGGATGTCATAAAAAGCGTTTTTGGTTCTTGTATTTCTATTAATTTCCAGTCAGATTTGGTTTATTGCATCAGAATGCAGCTGTTAGACAGTTTATCTAATCGAACAGATTCTGTGAGAACAGAATTTTTAATGGTACTTTGTTTTTTGTTTTTTTCTTTTGTAGACTTGACTTCTCAGGAGATGAGCCAAAGTTCAATTGTACTCAGGAACAGAAAAAAATATGCAGAATTGAATAATGAAGCAGTACATATAAAAACTCTTAATGGAAAGAAAATTCCACGTCGAAGTGCTGCTGTGGCTGCAAGTAAAATTAAGCTCATTAGTGATGCTAGGGAGGAACTGTCAAGTTCAGAAATTGGTTCTGCTAGAACCAAGAACAGAAAATTACCATACCGCAGTGCCTCTGCTGCAGCCAGAAAGACATTGAATGATTCACCCACACCCCCTGAAAGTGAAGCAGAACTTAAGGAATGTGATATAAAGGAAAAACAATTTCACACTCGTTCTTACACATCTAGAAAAGCTGGCAAAGAACCAGAAAAGAATTGTTTGGACTCTGAGAAAGAACCTGAGGTGAAACAAAAAAGCAGACACAGCAATGGCCCAAGAGAGCAGTCTGTTAGAACGATGTGTGGAAAATACCCAAAAGGAAAGAAAGCTGTAGAATTGTCTGAAGAAGAATCCGCCAGTAGTGTTCCATCTGAGGATCAGACAGGTTTGATCCAGTCACCATCTCCAGAGATACATAATGCACCAAGTGACTCTGCAGCAGGTTCTGAATCAGACCAAGAGTATATTGGTAAAACTGTGAGAAGCACAAGAGAAAATAAAGAAGGAAAGAGGAGTCAAGGAAGAAGAATTTTCTCGAGCAGGAAATTTGAGGTTTCTGGGAGCTCAAAATCTGAACCTGGTAGCAGTTCTAATTACTCTTCCGATTCAGAACCTCAGATAGAGTCTAAAAACAGTAACAGCAATGGAGATAGGAAAACGAAAAAGAGGAAAAGGAAAGCCATTGAAGCAGGTAAAACTTTAAGTGATGGATTTTGTAAACCTTCTAAAACACCTCAGAGAAGAAAACGGGCAAAAGAGAGTGAAGAGAATGATTCTGAAGAATTAGATTATACAAAATATAAAAGAGTAAACAGACGTTCCAGAATCAGAACTAGAAACAGGGGCAGGAGAACTGTCAGATATGCAGATGATGAAGATGATTGTGAAATGTGATCTTGCTTAGCATATCTGTTTAGCCCACTTTCCTTTTTCTAGTGATACTAGAATTACTGAATTATTTTGGATCTTCCAATACATTCAGGGAATATATTTATATTTTTCTATGAAAAAGTTGAATATGGAGACTCTCCTTTTCATAATATGACTTGCACTTCCCTACCTGTGTAGCAGCAATTAGCACATATGCCAAAATGTGCCTCATTATAGGGGCGAATCTTTTGTCTTTAATGATGTTTTGCTAAATATAGTAAACAGTGGGTGGGTGGGTGAATAATAAAATTAAAGAGTGTTATGGTGCTGCAAACTACCTATGCTGTAGTACATTAGTAATTTCAGGAATAGTTTAATCTGAAAACAGTGGTGTTCAGGGTTTCATTTAGCAGTAACATTAGCATTTAATACAATGGTTGAAATCCTGTTGCGTAGCATAGTAAATTTGCTATAGTAGGCCTATTGAATTGTGGGGATTTGGTGAGTCAACTTCTTTAAGTCACAACTAAAGCAGGTCCATTTGAATTGGTGGAACTTATGGAGGAGTTGACCTACCAGATCTTTACTATTCAGTGGGCCAATTCTAAAGTGACTTCTACGCTAACCAACAGGATTCCAGCCATATATTAAAAAGAACTCAATTTGGTTACTCGGTTTAAAGAACAATTATGTGATAAGTGGTTACCAAATAATTTAAGAACTTATTAAAACCAGAGGTGCTACACATTTCTGAACAACAGCTTGAACTAATCAGTAATAAAGATCATTTACTGACTTTATAAATATGTGGATAATTTTTTTGCTTCTTATGTAACCTTTTAGTATGTGGCTCCCATGCTGTAAATTTGAGACTATTAGAATACAGGTGATCACTTGAGCCTAAGATTTTTGTGCATGTGGGCATTTTGTCAAGAAAAAACAAACATGCAAGTGAAATAATGTGCTTAATGGTTTTTCTTCAAAATGGAGTAAAACTTTAATGCTCAGTAGTGCTAGCATTTAAAGTTTTTGCTAGCATTCAATGCCTGATTCATTAAGATTTAAATTATAAGTTCATTGACACAACTTAAACCACTCCACCTCCTAATTTGTCAGTGTGAAGCACCTTCATGTTGCTAGTATTTAAGTTGGCACTGTTGGGGAGGGGGGCATAAGTTCATTATTGCGTATCAAGAATGCACAGTACGTGATACTGTATAACTATTTAATGGTTCTTTTTAAAGTGATCATTCCCTGGTTTAACTTTTTGGGAGAATGTTTTTCTTAATTGTTATTTTCATAGAGATGGCCTCTTTATTACAAGGTGTCCCTGCATCTAGTCATACTTTCGGTAGGACTTTCATGTAACAGGCATTTAATTTATTCTTGTGGGCCTCTTGTATTATTATTTTGACAAATATTACTTCAGGGTGGTTCTTTGTGTTGCCTTTATTTGATGGAACAAAACCAAAACCCTGAAATCTGCTATTCTAGAATGTTGATTTGTCTTCCACATCTTGGTTTTTAAAGGCGAAACTCTGAATATATAGTTTGTCTATTAAAAAAATAACACTAATGCTCGAAGTTCTTTATTTTTGTATGTTAAGTTATAAAATGTGCTTAATCTGGGTAAATTTGCACATTTCTGTAAAATTAAGATAAACTGGAGTAAATGGTTTATTTAGAAGCATTGGAAATGTAATTTTGTTTATAAAGTGAACAGTGGTGGCATGGTTAAGGGAAGCCCCCAAACTGTAATCAACTTGAAATGCACTGCTGTGTAAAATGGGTTTCTATTTGCATTTTTGGAATACTTATATTTAATTATTTCACCTCAGTTTGTTGCAGTACAAATCGTACAATACAAAATGTATTTGAAGTAGTAGAATGTAGACTTATTTTCCCAATGACATATGTCAGTGAAATGTTCTCAAATAAAAAACAAAAGGTGGACATCAGCATTATAGTGCTGGCTACAGATTCTCTCATAAAATGAACAAAAGCGGTCTTCTCTTGTCTAAAATTAACACTACTCTTTCTGCACTTTGGATGAGGGGGAAGCCTCACCCAGTAGGGCTGAAAATTAGAGGGTACACTGACTGCTACCAAAGGAGGCTTTTTTAAAACCACATACCTTGATGTGATATAGTTGGACACAGCTGTCATTTCAGAATCCCAAGATGCACCTCACCAAAAGCATTAACACTGCTTGTTTTCCCCTCATGTGTTTTAGCATACTTTTGAGGGAGGGGGAAAAGGGGAAAATAATGGCAAGAAAAAAATGAGAAAAAGCTGAATAGGTATATGCAGAAAGATGGGAACATAAATAGATCTCCAGACTGGAAAGGGTTCAACACTGTTAACTCTCACTGTACCTAAAGGGACTTTAAATGTAAAGTTATTTTTCCAGCAATAAAAAGTGGTCCTATCCTGAGCATTCTCTAGAACAATCAGAAAAATGGGTAATAGATTTTAAAATACTGTAGTTGGATTGCAAAAACTACAAAATAAACGAAGAGGAAGGGAATACATGACACTGCTAAAAATGTACCGTGCACATTCCAACGTCTGCTTGACATTTGTATTTTTAGTCTTTATTATTTAGTAAGTGCCTTCAATGTAGTTATGAAAGAATTCTTCCATCAGCTTTTCAGAAGGTTATCCAATATCCCAGTTACTTAGTTCTTTAGAAGTTGATGTGTGATGAATCATTTACACTAGTGTATATAAGCTGACTTTCTCTAACTAAATATATTATTTACCAACTGTACATCATGAATACAAGAGGGCAGATTGGCATAGTGGTCCAAGACTTTTATACTAAAAGGCATACTTACTTTTAAGCTTACGGAGTATTTAAGGATATTGCTTAGCTATCTGGCCCTATGATATCCTAAACCTTGAACCTGTACTGTGAACTTACTATCTTTCCTTGACTCCATGGTGATTTTATGACATCACAGTAAAAAACTAAAACATCTCCCATGCATTTATGATCAGCCAGCCCCTTACAACTCTGCTCTCTTTTATACAAGTGATTTTCCAGTCTAACACCAGTTTGGGATTTTCTTAAGTAAACTGCATATGAAGGTGCCACAGGTACCTATAGCAAGATTTCAGATCGGATCCTAAGTGTTTCCTAAAATAGTTTGATTTGCACACTGCCTAAATTAACTTGGGTCTGGATTTAAATCTCAGTTTAGAAATTAAGGTCAGTAGTCTCTGTGGATCACTCTGATGTGGTATCTGTACCTGCACTTAATCTGTATGGAACCCAACCAAGCCTTTTTGGTGGTAACGCCGCCCACCCTCCTTTTGGCATATATAATTGTGCCCAGCCCTAACCCCTCAGTTTCTTTTCACCAACCACAAGAGCTCAGTGTTTCGGAAACCTCTTGCTGAGTATTTGAATTTCATTGTATGATGTTTCTATTCCTGTCAATTTTGCCCCTTAAACTTCATTCATTACCTGTATTTTTGTTCATCATAATCCATTTAATTTGTTCATCAAACACAATTTGTATTTTTTTAAAATTTCTGTTTTGCTGGCTGTGCCTGCAAGTATGCCCTCTAAGGCCTTGTTTAAGAAATGCAACACATGCGGGGGTAGTATAGCTCCCACTGATGGTCATTCAAAGTGTTTGTTCTACTTCAGAGAGGACCATCTCCCCCAGCTTCGTCTGATTTGTAAAGTTTTCATTAAGCAAGGCCAGAGACTAAGACAGTTGACATTTAGTTCATTCTTTTGGGAACAATCTCTCTGAACTGCTGACAAGGCTTTGGGCCCATCAACTCCAACTCTGTCCACCACAGTGTCAGCACTGATAGTGCTCTCTACTTGCTACAGTAGACAGACTTCTCAGCTGATATCCACCAGTTTTTAATAGTCTTGCCTTGCTTAACGAGGAAATCGCTATACGATTAGGCTTTTACGACCACTTTTGCAATCGCAAAACAATGTTTTAAATGGGGTTTTTCATTTTACGATGACCAGTTCCCTGCTTCGGGAACCAATTTTCGCTTTATGACAATCAGCAAACATCTGATCGTCGGGTTTCAAAATTACTGCCGGCTGAAGAAAATGGCCCCCGCTGTTTTCTAGGACTGATTCCTTGCTTTACAGGCACCGAAAATGGCCGCCATATGGAGGATCTTTGCTGGACAAGCAGGTATTCAGCCCATTGGAACGCATTGAACAGTTTTCAATGCGTTTCAGTGGTTTTTTTTCTTTTCGTTTGACGATGTTTTTGCTCTACAACGATTTCACTGGAACGAATTAACATCGTCAAGCGAGGCACCACTATATTCACACCAATATGGGCACCGAATTAACATCGTCAAGCAAAGCACCACTATATTCACACCAATATGGGCATAAGAGCCAATGTTATCTTCCCAGGCATCCCGACCTCCTACCTCTGATAGGGAGCAGCCTGTGGTCAAAAGAAAACCTGACATAAAGCAGCCACCTAGCCTGGCTGCCTTTTAGGCCCCTAAGCCAAAATAGGCAAAGGACAAGAAATAAAAGCAGGCTAAGAAGGCTGTATGGTAAGTGTTGGTAACCTCACCTGCAGAAGCCTTCCTCTTCTTCAAAGTCCCATTTTTGACTGCTCTTCCCTTCCACAGACACAACAGATCACCACACATCCATGCAACCTAAAATGCTAATTTACAACTTGGTACTCCATCACCACAAGAGTTCAGTTCTATGGCTATGACATAGAGTTTCACATTCTCCAACTTCTCAGGCTTTTTTACTCCACCAGACAATTTATATTGCTCTGAGAGGAAATCTCAGCTCTCCTGCAAATGGGAACAATAGGACCCATTTCTTAGAGGTACATGACCACAGTTTTCTTCTGGTGCTTCACGGTCCCAAACATGACAGCCTCTGTCTTATCCTGGTTTTACACAATCTCAATCAGTTTATCACCTATATGTAAATCCTTCAGGGTGGTGATGCTGTTTCCATTCTCCCCTTACTACACAATGATAACTGGTCCGCATCCTTCAACCTCTGAAATGCTTAATTCCACATCATGATCTATCTGTCTCACAGGAGGAATCTCCAGTTTGCTTTGGGCATGCAGCTCTCTACCATTTCAAGGTCCTTCTATTTGGCCTGATAGTGGCCTCTCAGGTCTTTACAAATGCATGGCCCTGGTAGTAGCCTGTCTCAAAACCTGAGGAATCTCCATAGTCCCGTGTGCCAATGACTGGTTAGTACTTGTGGACTCCAGAGAGATTATCCCACCACATTCACTTTATTCTGTCACTCCTTTGCAATCTATGTTCGCAGATCAGTGAATTCCCAATTAATACATTTTCACAATATCTACATTGGAGCTAGACAACCCTTACAGAGCCAAACTCTTCCTTCCACATGACAGGGCCAGGAGTCTGGGCTACTTTACATTCAAAATCTTTCAGGATACTCTTCTGCTCTCATAATTAAACAGCTCCTAGGCTTCTTGGCATCTACCATGACCCTCAGTGGGCCTGTTCTACGTGGCCTCTGAGAATCCACACAAGTGGGTTTAGACTGCACTTGCTCTGGATCCTCAGAATATTCTAGACTTGAAAAAGAAACAGTAGCGCGTTGCCCCTTATCATGCATGCTCCACCCACCCAAAACCTCAGTTCCTTTTTGCCAACTTCGTGACTAGAACCTCTCGGCTAGAGCTTTCACAAAACTTATAGTCGTCTCTCTTGTGATTGAACTGGACTTTCCTGACTGCTGATTCATTCGTACGTTGTCCCTTGGATTGATTTCGAATTGCTTACGGTTTACTATTTACAGCTTCCCCTTGGATTGACTTCAGATTGCTTAAGGTTTTCGATTTACGGTTTCCCGTCGTTTTGTTTCAGACTGATTACCTCCCATATGATTAGTGCTTTCGGAAATCAGCTTCCTCTTTCATTCAACAATTTGGACTTTGTTATTGCTGTTTTGTCCTGTTTGGCTTGACTCAGACTGGTTTACATTATATTCCTCCTGACTGTGAGTGTTTGTTTATCTAGTCTTGCCGCGAGGCCTTCCTTTTATGGCCTTTGTGGGTCTCTTTAAATGTGTGTCCTGTGCCGCCAAAGTTCCATTCACCGACAGGCACGACCATGGTTTGTTCTGTCTAGGGGAAGAACACCAACCCCATTCCTGCTCCCACTGTAAAAAGCTCTCTAAGCTAATGCTGAAGTCTTGAGAACAGAGACTTAAAGCTTACCTGTGGAGCAAGTCTCATTCTCCCACCAAATTACAAATGGAATAAAGCTCGGCTCAACCACCCACTCTACACACTGAGCCTTCGACAACATCAGTGCCCTCAGCAACTCTGGCGAAATCTCAAATGGCACCATCTAAGAAAGGGTCTGGATCGACTTCGAAGATTTTGAAGTCGTCGACTTCAGCCGCCTCTGTGTCTCTTCCAAGACACTCAACTGTAGAAGGTATTAAGAAAAAGATTTCCTGCCTCGACTCTTGCACCAATCAAGAGTCATCAAGTAGTCACAGATCCAACCAATCAGGTCTCTGAAGACCCTACTTCAACTCAGCACTCCAAGAGACACCATAGGTCACCTTCGCCATCACCTTCCTTTCAAGGTGACCCATTGGCTTCTTATGCTTCTGACCAGGAGGAGGAAGTCCTCTCTGAAGTTTTGGAGGAGACTCCTCCAAATGTCAATACTACAGATTCTGATGTAGGGGACTTGCGACCCCCCTCTCCTTCATGAGACTTTACATCTTACTCGCAAATAGTGGCGTGTATGGCCAAAGCTTTGAAATCAGACATTGAACAACCACTGCCCCTAAAGAGGACTTAGTGTTTGACGACATTAATCAGGAAAAGTCTCATCCTTTAAGCTTGGCCTTTATTCCAGCTTTAATGGAGAACATTAAAGAGGCCTGGGATCTTCAACCTGCATCTTTGCAAATTTCAAGAAGAATGGAAGGTCACTATAG